ACATTTCAATGTGCGTGCTTTGGGAGTTTTATTGCTTGTATAGAAAACCTTGTACATGAAATTTATAATCAATTATACATGAAATGAAGACATCTTTTGAACAATATTTTTATCCTTTTAATGTTCTACAAATATTCTTTCATTCTACACTCACTCTTCTATTATGTAGAATTAATAGCGTAGGATTGTATTTTCATACTGAAGTTCAAAGATCATGCAGACCAGAATATGGACACGACATTTAGTTTATTTTTCTTTTCTTTCGAATTTTGAAATAAACAATTGTACATGCATGTTTTCAATATTTTAAACAAAGAATTGAAATGTTCTTATAAAGCTAGCTAAAACAAGATAATTGAGTATATAAACAGTACTTATCTTTTAAAAAAAAAAAATGTTTTATAAGGATTATTTTGCATCATCTTCTAGAATGAAAAGGGACTTTAATAATACAGAAAATCATTCTTCAATGTATTTTGAAGTTATGCTGATAAAATCTTGTATTTCTTACAATATTACTTCAGTGCATATAGATCTTTATTGTGCAAAAAAATCTCAAGCAACATTTAATATTGCAAAAAATTGATCTGATTTGATTAAAACGTATTGCTTTGTAACCAATTTAAATAATTTAAAAAACATACTTCATACAATTTATTAGTGATATTGGTAATCCAACAGGTTTTTTTTTTTATATAATATAAATTTGACAGTCAATTATAAGACAAATTGCATGAACCACCCAAGGATTCATATACCGTATATCAAGAAATCTATCCAATGATTTCTTTTATAACATTTTTAGCTCACCTGAGCCGAAGGCTCAAGTGAGCTTTTCTGATCACATTTTGTCCGTCGTCCGTCCGTCTGTCTGTCTGTCCGTCTGTCCGTCTGTAAACTTTTCACATTTTCGACTTCTTCTCAAGAACCACTGGGCCAATTTTGACCAAACTTGGTACAAAGCATTCTTGGGTGAAGAGGAATTTAAATTGTTAAAATGAAGGGACATATCCCCTCGCAAGGGGAGATAATCAAGAAAAGAGAAAAATAGGGTGGGGTCATTAAAAAATCTTCTTCTCAAGAACCACTGGGCCAGAAAAGCTGAAACTTATGTGAAAGCATCCTAGGGTAGTGTAGATATTAAATTGTTCAGATCATGACCCCCGGGGGAAGGGCGGGGCCACAATGGGGAATCAAATTTTATATAGAAATATATAGGAAAAATCTTGGAAAATCTTCTTCTCAAGAACTACTGGGCCAGAAAAGCTGAAACTTATGTGAAAGCATCCTAGGGTAGTGTAGATATTAAATTGTTCAGATCATGACCCCCGGGGGAAGGGCGGGTCCACAATGGGGAATCAAAGTTTTACATAGAAATATATAGGAAAAATCTTCTTCTCAAGAACCAGTGGGCCAGGAAAGCTGAAACTTATGTGAAAGCATCCTAGGGTAGTTTAGATATTAAATTGTTCAAATCATGACCCCCGGGGGAAGGGCGGGGCCACAATGGGGAATCAAAGTTTTACACAGAAATATATAGGAAAAATCTTAGAAAATCTTCTTCTCAAGAACCACCGGGCCAGAAAAGCTGAAACTTATGTGGAAGCATGCTGGGATAGTGTAGATTCTAAATTGTAAAAATCATGACCCCCGGGGGAAGGGTGGGGCCACAATGGGGAATCAAAGTTTTACATAGAAATATATAGGAAAAATCTTGGAAAATCTTCTTCTCAAGAACTACTGGGCCAGAAAAGTTGAAACTTATGTGGAAGCATTCTTGGGTAGTGTAGATTTTAAATTGTTCAAATCATGACCCCCGGGGAAAGAGCGAGGCCACAATGGGGAATCAAAGTTTTACATAGAAATATATAAGAAAAATCTTTGAAAATCTTCTTCTCAAGAACCACTGGGCCAGAAAAGCTGAAACTTATGTGGAAGCATCCTGGTATAGTGTAGATTCTAAATTAAATCATGACCCCCGGGGGAAGGGTGGGGCCACAATTGGTAATCAAAGTTTTACATAGAAATATATTGGAAAAATCTTTGAAAAACTTCTTCTCAAGAACCACCGGGCCAGAAAAGTTGAAACTTATGTGGAAGCATTCTTGGGTAATGTAGATTTTAAATTGTTCAAATCATGACCCCCAGGGGAAGGGTGGAGCCAAATGGGGGGACCAAAGTTTTACATAAAAATATATAGGAAAAATCTTTGAAAACCTTCTTCTCAAGAACCACTGGGCCAGAAAAGCTGAAACTTATTTGCACATGGAAGGATCCTGGGGTAGTTGATTTCAAAATGTCTTAATTATGATCAGTGGGGTAGGGTGGGGATACATAATGTATTACAAGGGGGAAATCTGGTAAAGAACAGAATGGACAAAGCTTCTCAGGTGAGCGATGTGGCCCATGGGCCTCTTGTTATTTTATTCATTCTATTATTTTCACTCTCTTAATTAACTTTCCTGTATGAAAATTTGTGTAAAATATTAGCTGCATTATCTTGAAATGTTGATTTTTTAATCTCGAAACTTGTTATCATGTATATATTCTATATATTATAGTCTGTATTTGTACTCTGTAAAATAATAAACATTTTACTGTTGGTAGTGTTTACTGTTTTTGTTTTACAAGATACACACGTACCTTGGGAGTGTCTACTATATCTATAAAATTAATCTGCCAAATGGTTGTTTTAATAATATCCTTGTATTCCGTAAGCAGAATGAGCAACTCCTTTTGACAGTTAAAATATATATATTTGTAAAGTATATACATTCTTGAGATGCCCTGTTATTTTGACATCCTTTTAGTGAAGATGTAAAAAGCCTATTGTGGGTTTGGGTCATCGATATTAAAAGATTAGGGTATTATCAACAGATGATTTATATAGGTACTATTGTGTGGAAATCTGGGCTTGCCTGATTGTTAAATATGTGTCTGTCCCAACTCTGTGGCACAAATCCAAAATCTACCTACAAAAAGATAGTCAAATGGCAGATAAGCATTAAGGACAATACATTGATCATCTTCATTATAAAGATAAAAAATTAATTATTGAAAGGGACATCCATATCGGTTCTTGATGAATTATGAAGCTTTATGCCATATTCTGCTTAACTTAATTGACTATCATTGCACAGACATAACAAATGTATGGACATTGATTGTTCTGTCTGATTTAATGCACAGTAATTGCAGTCCCTGAAAGTGTTGAGGACATATTGCATTCAATGAATAAGTAATGCACCTGTTTCCTTTTGCTGCAAATATTTACAGTTTGTACTGGATGTTTTTTTTTCATTTTCAAAGACCTGGTCGGCCTGCATTAAACTACTAAGTAAATGGATTGGAGACATAATTTTGATGAGAGTGTCTGTTAGAATTAAAGAAGTAGTAATACATGCTTGAAGAGAAATGAAGGACTAGACATGTGAGGTCAGGGTTACATGGAAGATCAATGTCATATTAAGCATATTATACTGAATATGATCTTGACCTTCCATATAACCCTGACCTCACATTTTTCCAAGTTTCCTTGATAACCAGTGGAAGGTTAATTGCTTACCTGTAGAGCCATCGTGGAACAAACTTTATCAACCAAAAGAAAACACAATAATATGATATTGACATAATATATCTCTGTGGTGTTGGTAATCTGTTAATGTTTGTCTCAAGAAAAATATTTTTTGAAAGTTGTTTTTCACAACATCATGGTGTGAAATTCTTTTTTGCTTTGAAAAACTACTCACAGATCATTAACCAAAGTGGGGTTGATGAAACGAGACAGGTAAAGGAAGTATTCAGTTAAGGGTTTCTTTTGCTGACAAAGTTTGAATGATCTGTTGATGGGACTGGTTGACAGGCTTGGTATTCGGTAATACCCTGTATCCAGGGTTGGTCACACGCCATATTGATTTTGTTTGATGGCTCTGTAAATCAGAAGGAAGGGGGTAATAAGGTGTGAAAATGAGTTTCCAGGAACAAGGCATGATGATGTTTTAATTTCTTTTGAATTATATAAGGTTTTTGAGTATCTACTTTTCTATACTGCCTTCTGGAAGAAATATCAATACAGAAGTAAAAGATTTTTCATTTGATTTTTTTTTTCTTGTTTTATTAATCGCTCATCAGAGTCTTGAAAGAAATATCATTGACAATGCTAAAATCAAAGGTAATTCAAAGTTTTAGGAATGAAGACTATTTTTAACCTTTAAGTCTTCTTCCAGTAGGACAAATTAATTCAAGTTTAGATAGCCCATTTGATATTTAACTTCATGATTCATTACTTTGAGCAATTATCTGAGTCGTCTTCGATCTCCACAAGAATTTTGACCCAACAGTGTGAAGAAGTATTTATAATATTTTATTTCACGAACACAAAGAGATCGATCAAGAAATGTTAAAAATTTGTTATTATAACCTGGTGGTTTGTAACCACAGTGATTGGAGGTCATTTGGCAAGGTCATCAGAGAATATACACAAATTCTCTTTTTTCATTGAAGAAACATTTATAAAGGGCCCTGCACAGTGGAGCATCTCATCACAAAAGAGAACATCGATATTATCAAGACAGAGTTTGGCAGTAATATTCTAATGCAAATTTTGTTACTTCTGTTACACACACAAGGACATCTTTACTCACCCACCCCCACACACAAGGGCATTACTATATCCCCTCCAACTGCATTGCAAGGATAATGAATTAATTCTCATATCAAGAGGTTCTGATTATAAACTTAGCATCAAACTCTTTATGATGAGGTGAAGGTTACTGAGAAGAAACTATTTCCATTTGAGGCCCAAGATAGATGTGATAAATATGTCTTTCAGATATTAAAGTGCAAACTACAAAAGAACACTACCCTAGGTCTATTAATGAAAAGCAAAAAACACTAATAAGATACATCTAAAAAAGCAAACTGCTTACCGGGTAGTCTTATTTAGGATTAGATTCAAATACCATAATAAAAATTGAAGTATTTCTTTTTGGGAATTTTAGGAGTTCCATACAATATATCAACAGTTCTTCCCAAATGGTGACCCTACCAAATTTGCCAGTTTTGTCTTCAATGTTTTTGATGCCAACAAGGTATGTAAAGATGTTGCTCCTAAGATCACAAAATGGGTGAATTTAACAAGCTTATTAATTATTCCTAAAATACAGCTGAACTTTGATATCTCAAACACTAACTGGTATCTCAAATACCATGGATATGTGGAAGAATTTGCAAGTCTTAATTAAATATGCTCTCTTTAAAAGTACTTTATCCTTAATATCTTTGAGTTCATGATAATGAGGTTGGACTGTATGTGACATGAAGGGAAAACTAACACCCTCCAAGCTTAATTACAATATACCTTTTCAATAAATTTCTCATTAGAGATCCTTTATTGGGTATTATTTCTTATCAAAATCTTGTACAAACATACTAATATCACCAGTCAGTTATTCTTGATTTATGAAAGAATCTTCATAACAGTTGGGATATGGAATCTCACTTAAGAGTAAAATTAGATTTAATTTTTGTTGAGTAAAATTTAATTAGAATCTCAGGCCTTAATGTCAGTAGATTGATGTCACAAGGAATAATTCTTCAGAGCAGTGTTTATTACACTACCAGACAGAGTATATTAATTTCAAGAAAAGATTTTGGGGATTGTGTTTCAGATCCCATATATATGTCAAGGACTGAAATGAATGAATAGATTGTACTTCTGTTAGGGATCTGATATAACACAAGATACAAGACATGATAATATAATGATATTTGGGGTTTAGTAACCAGGATCAAATTTCAGGTTCAACCCAGGCATGCCTGAGGTCTTTAAAATAATTAAAATTTTTATCTTTGGCATTATTGAAATCAGAGTCTGCAGACTCTTTCCTGTGATAAGCATATGTTTGCAATGAAATGCCAAAGAACTTTTATAATTTTCTTTATCTCATTTAAAATACATGTACTTAAATGTATGTATGTCTGTATGTATTTCAGGATGGGTATATATCTTTTAAAGAATTTATTTGTGCTTTGTCCATAACATCAAGAGGTTCACTGGATGAGAAACTAGATTGTAAGTATATGTAAATTCCATTTGACTGCTGCTAAGCACAGAATCTAGAATACATTATTAATTTCATATTGTAAAATGTATCATTTAGAAGACTAAAGGTGTGTAATTGTATCTATTCTAATTTCTTAATTTTAGGGGCTTTCAGTCTATATGATCTGGATAATGATGGCTTTATCACAAAAGAAGAAATGGTCAGTATTGTGGATGCTATTTATAGCATGGTAGGGAACCTCCTAGATCTGCCCAAGGATGAGGATACCCCAGAAAAGAGAGTGGAAAAGATATTCACCCAGATGGACACAGTATGTGGAACTCAAGTCTTTGACTGATCTATTGTGACAAGGGGAATAACTCTTTCAAAGTCAAATATTGATTTGTCGTAGTAATTTTAGAGAGCATTTAAAACTGTGATTTCTGAAATAATATGAAACTATAATCAACAAGTGTTAATCCTTATTATTTCTATGATTTTTTTTTTAACAGAATAATGATGGTAAGCTGACAAAAGATGAGTTTCGGGAAGGCTCAAAGTGTGATCCCTGGATTGTTGAAGCATTGTCAACACCACATAGATAAAGGTTGCTAGTGTCTGCCAAAGTCCTGTAAACAATTGCACTGACTATTCATAGGATTTGTGGATGTTTGTGAAATTGACATTATTTATTGAAATACATGTACATTCCTTGCTTAGAGATAGAGCAGGTTTTGATAAAAACGGCCGTCATTTTCTCCCCAATTATTGACAAATCTGTGTAATTTTGTATGAAGTGATATTTTTAATGCCTTTTCCTGTCTTTCCTGTCTTGTGATACATTTGTTGAGATCTCTACAGTTATTTATTTCAGCTACCAATGGTCAGACGTTCTGAGTGTCTCTGATCAGAGTTTGCACAGTGTTCATGTATTTGTATATTGTTTGTTTGTCACATATAACTTTTCACATACATGTACCGATTTTATCCTCCAGAATCATTGAGCCAGTTGCAACCAAACTTGCCAAACAGTATCCTTGTGTAAAAGGCCTCAGGATTAATTTTTATTTTTCAAAGAAGGGGCCACATCCACGTACGTTTCCAATAAGACATTATAGTGATAAAAACTTCATGAAGATTCATTTGAATCCCTCCCCCCATTTCCTATTCAACAAAAGAGGTTTCAGTTTATACATGTATATGACATTGGATAAAGAAGAGAAGGTCATATGAGCATTAAATGGCTCATGGAGTCCTTGTTAATGCAATTCTTTATGCCCCCCACTATAGTGTTAGATGAGACTGTCTGTCTGCAAGTCCTTTGGTCCCTCTGTCACTTTGGGGTACCCATACCTTATCCACAACTCTTCCTATTAGTGAATAAAATTTTTGAGTTTCATAGTCTTTATTTCATATTGTCATTGTGCACCTCTTATTTTACATTTTCACCAGACACTACGCCTGGACCCTACCATTCTTCCTGTATTTGAGGTATCCATCTCTTATCTAAAACTCTTCCACTTAATTTTAATTCGACTTTCAAAGATTTTTTGATATAGTAGCATTATGCACCTCTTGTTACACAATTCAACTGAACAAATATTTGGTGTTTTCATACCTAAAAATATAAACTTTGTCATTAAACATGTAACCATGTAGGAGTGAGGAACTCAGTGCTCAGTACCTCTTGTTTTAATGTTCATAATTCAATTTGTTACAATGTCATTATTTTAACATCATCTAGACTGGTCTATAAATGTTCCATTTTTCTTCAATTTTAAATGAAATGGAATTTTAAGGAATTTCTCGCAAAAGATCAATTGAGAACAAAATGTTGGGTCTAAAGAGCTACATGTTTTCTGTTATGATAAGTTCTGAAATTTTTGTTTAAATATATATGTGTTGAAAAATGATAATAAAGATTTTATTATAAAAGAGTAGTCTCTGGTTTCTTAACATCAATTGAAAGAAGATGTGTTTGTGATACATTTATGACACCAAAGGTAAAACTTTTCTCAAATGCTGTCAAACTCCAAGATGAAGGTCTATAGAGTAAAAAAAAAATGGTCTAACCCTAAGAAAGGACTTGACTGCATATGTCCATGAATGCAACAGGGAAATATGAAAACCCAAGAACTAACCAACAGGTGTGACCAAGGCTATTTTTTTGAAATGGGTCAAACTCAAAGGTCAAGTTAATGGTACCAAAAGGAAGGCCTTTTCTCTAATAGAGGGAATGCACTTGTAAAATTCAAAGCCAGAGCACAAATTGTTCAATAGTCATAGCAAAAATTAAAGTTTTTTAAAAAGGTCATATTTCAAGGTCAAAAATCAAAATGTAAAATATGTTGGTATCTAAAGGAAGGTCTTGTCACAATGAATAAACCTGTGAAATATTAAAGCCTTTAAACTAAGTTTCTTTTTAAACAAATGGAGGGACAATCTGACAAACAGGACAAAAACTATTTACCCTGAATCCTCAATTACAAGGGCCCCCAAAAAAGTATGTAGCTATATATATATAGCTACAGGAAAAAAGTACCGGTATATAGCTATATCAAATAATTTTTTTTTTTTTGCAAATTGGGAAATTTTTGTTACAGATAATATATAGTGTATAAGCTAATATAAACAAGAGATGTTTGTAAAACACTTATGCCCTCCTCCCCAAAATTGTAATTTTTGCAAGTCCAAGGGGCATAACTCTGTCAAAAAAGGCACCATTGTGGCCAAAACAGAACTTGGCCAAGATATTCATCTGATAAATCTGTACACCAAATTTCATTTCAGTATGTGCAACCTCTGCGAAGAAAATGAACGGAAACTGCAAAAAACTGGAATTTTTCCTAAGTCGAAGGGGCAATAACTCTGTCAAAAATGGTGCGAATGTACCCAAAACACAATTTGACCTTAATATTCATCTGATAAATCTGTATATCAAATTTCATTTCCATATGTGCAACAGGTGTGAAGAAAATGAATGGAAACTAAGTGGACAGACAGGCTGACTGACAGATAGCAGCAAAGCAATATGCCCTCCCTTCTTTGAAGGGGGGCATAATATTAATGATGGTCCAAAGAACAACAAAACACAAAACAATAAGTTTGAGGAATAATATATTTTAAGAGAGTATAAATATCAATCTAGAGAATTTTTAAGTCACAAGGTAAAAAATACCAGTATATGAAGTTTTAAAAAAGCAGTATTGTAACAAGTAACAAACATGAAACATATAGCAATTCTGTTAAAAAAAAATCTTTTTTTGGTCATTTGTTAGTGGACTTGTCTTATTTATACAGGAATCAAGAAGTCTCTGCAAAGACTGCAGCTCTACTGATTTGTACCTATAAAATGTAGGTAAAAGATGCATCAATCTGGACTCTGTATTTTGATACCTTCTAAAGTTGTACCACATTTTATAGAAAAATTAGAAAATGTACAAAAATTGTAGAGAAAGGAACATTTTGTTAGAAATAACAGGAATTCAGATGTTACATGTAAGTATCCCACAATAAACTAATATTTTTATATGCATTTCAAAAGATGACCACATTTATGCAGTTTTGGTCTGAAAGTGCTTGTAGTTACTCTAACTTGGTCACTCATCCTAAAAATTTAAGTCAAATGCAGCATCTGAAGTATGTATGAGATCAAGTGTTAACCCACTGATGCATCATTCATGCAAGTTTGGTCTAGGAAGGGCTTAAAGTTACACTGGGATGAGTGTACCCTAAAAAATTTTCATAATACAGGCATGTCAAAAGCACTTATATGTATGATCTTAATGAGCATTTAACTGAAATTGCACCCTACCCTGTAGTGTGAAAAAAATATACAGACAGACAGATATGTAGATGACAGACACAATACCAAGGCAAAACAACTTTGGTCTTTTGTATCGCATATATCAGTTAATAAAATATCACGATAATATCATAGATATTTTTTACAACATTTTGTTGACAATGATTTTTAATGAATTGTCATTATTTGTAAAAATATGCTAGAAAAACAAAATTTCACTCTTTTGAACTTTTTATGTACCTAAAATTAATCATGTTTGGATGGTAAAATATTTTATATTTTACAACATTTTTTAGTTTTTATAATTGTAATTTGAAAGATTTGACAAGTAAATGAATAATTTCTGGACTTATTATGTACCTAAATACCGGTATTATCAATACGTATCACGCAACAAAAAATCGTGATATACCGGTATACCGATAAAATCGCACATCCCTAGCAAAAACAACTTTGGTCTTTGTGCAATAGAGTTAATAAAATCAACAGTAACTTGATATAGACCTATGTTTTTAAACATTTTGTGTGAAAAACTAACAGATGATAAGCATTTATGTAAATATACAAGAAAAAATCATGCTCAATTGTATATTCACCTGTAAGGTAAAACATTCTACCGTATAGTGGGTTATTTTGGCGGGTGTAAATTTTGGCGTTTTGCCTGCTCAAAGGTATGCTAATAATTTTGGCGTAATTTATTTTAGCAGACACAGGGTTTCATCTCTTTGCAGATGAACACTTTGAAGAGAACTTACTATTTTAGCGATTAAAATTTTAGCGGGCTACCATCAAAACGCCAAAATAAGCCAAAATTAACACCCCGCTAAAATAACCCACTATACGGTATATTTTACAGCAGTATCAATTGTGGAGATTTGAATTCATTAATAAATCCTCTTATTACCACATAACCGTATTATCAAAACTGTATACGGGAAATATTCGCCCAGTTTCATTTTCACCCTTTTGCCCTAACCTCGATTGGGCAAATTTAAAAGGGGCAAATTCAAAGAATACAATATAATTTCTAAAACTAAACTGACTGGGCGAATTTAAAAATGGGGCAAAATTGTTTTCAAGTGTGAAAAAGTTATTTAAAAAAGCCCTGCATTAAAATCGGTCTTTCGATCCTTTTTTTTTTCTTCCTTTTTTGTTATAATAAGAAGGAGATTTTAAGTACAATTTGCAGTGATGCAAAAGCATAGCACATTGATCAATGATCATGAAGTGCAGTTTAATTTTGACACCTCACTAACAAATAGAACATGAAGAATTTGCAAAATCAAAAATCAACATCCACATCTAATACCTTGGACATTTTTCAATGGATCAGTGAATTAATTTGAAATAAACAAGTACTGTATTTGCATTGTTGAAAAAATAATCAAGTTATTTTGAAGGGGGAGAAAATTACAAACCTGTATTTTGACAAAATAAGTTTGATTTGTAAGGGGAGACAAAATGGACATTTTTTTTTAAGGAACAGTATATTTGTCATTTTTTATCCATGCCAAATCAATCCCCATATTATGGTTATTAAATAATAAAGTTAATCAGTTCTTCCCTATAAAAACCCTTTGTTCAATTATTGGTTGTGGCTTGACTAGAAATGTGCTGTAGTTTGTACATATAAAAAAGACTGTTATATCAGCACCAACATTTGTGAACAATAAACATTGAAAAACAGCTAATAAAAATGTATCTAAATTCACAACAAAAATATCAAAATGGAATGTTCTAAATCCCTGTGCTATCTGTTGTTCCAATTTTTTTATAAACAGTAAAACACGCCTATAGCAAATTTTGCTTTGTTCGTTATAAGCTTAATTTGATATGTTCATTATGGTCACAATATATAAAATCACAGGGAATAAAATTCACTTTTCTGTATGCATTTATGCATATTATAAGGATGATCATTATAAGTATGGTATGTTTTACTGCAAGTGTATGACAAAATTGCTGTTTCAAAAATACACCTGAATATTGTTACATATTACATTAATAAGGAGCAAATTCATTACTGGTCAATTAAAAAAAAAAAATTAATGGCACAAATAACTTTCAACTCACAAGTTGTAATGCATGTTTATGCAAAATATACTATTAAATTTGCAAGTGAACTCCAAAATAAGCATTGCATGTTGGAAGAAGTCTGTGAATATTAAAAATAATCTGCATCAAATTGCTATCAAAGTAAACATAACAGAGTGAAAAAATTTGAAATAAATTTAGAACTCTGATAGGTCAGAGTATGGCCCAATTGATTCACATGTTGATTTTTTACAACCCATAAAAATAATCTAATACATTTACAGGTATATGAAATGTGATAAAAGTTTCTGATAATATTTGTGTAAATAATCTACAGTGGAGCCTCATTTATCCGGACGCTTTGGTTCCCAGTTAATTTGTCCGGATATGTGAAGCGTCCGGATACCTGAATCACCAGTTGAACAAGACAAAATAACATTTAAAAAATCCGTTCCAATGACAAATCGTCCGGATACTGAAGCATCTGGATATCTGGCGTCCGGATATCTGAAGGTCCACTGTACATGTAATATTATATTGTGGATAAAAGAAAAACCCTTGATATGAAAAATAATCCCAAGGTGATAAATTTCAATTACATATATATCATTCTATACTTGCAATGTAAAGATTGGATTAAATATTGGTCCTTTTCCTAAAAATCAGAAAATATTTTTGGGGGAAAAATGTGTAAATGGCACCAGGTATAATATAATAAATATGGCAAAGACCCAACACAAAGCAATATAATAAAATTCTATAATAAATGCTATAAACTTTGACGTTATAATTCATCACGTTTAGGCAGCTTAAATGCCCAGAATTCACTTGACTTCCCTGCAACATCCCTCTCTCGCTTGACAAATGCAGAGAATGTTGATACACAACAGCCAATGAAATGATCAGATTTTCCTAACACAGCCAAATCTATATGTGGACTCTTCCCATCTTGCTTGGCAAAGTTAACCTGTAAATCACATATTCACAATTGATTACCTAAAATATTGAATAAATGCAGGTTTCTGAAAGTTAAATGTTGATAGAAGTGGAATTAAATTGTCACAACATTTGAAGTCGACACTTTTGGTCCTCAAGTTCAACTTTTGTCAGTATCAATAAAAATTTAATCTTAACTGAAAAAATTCTTCCAGAACACAATTTCATTTTTACAAAGCAAGGAACAAATCATCCTCAATGGAAATTTTTAATATAAGACAAAAAAATTATGAGATAAATCTTGATCATTTGATACCTTTGGCATGGCTTTTTTCATTTTGGAGATGAGATCTCTGCTATCTGTGGCAATAAACACATTGCTGATTCCTTTCCCTTTCACGGCACTCTTCACTTGCTTGATGATCGTGTCATCTGAGGGGTAACACATTTCTGCCGTCAGTTTTCCCTTCTCCCCTCTATAACCAATACACTGAGGGGAGGCGAACAGTGCCGATCCAGAGTCTATGTGTTTACAGGCATTGGACTAAAATTAAAATTAAACCAATACATAATCACAGTGTCGTTTAAAAAAGTCAATCTATTTCATATTATGAAATCTTCCTTACAAAGTCTGAGCCAAGTCTCAGGTGAATTCCGATGAATTTATCATTGTTGAATTTGCTGGAAATGAGATCTTTAGCTTTCTTTTCTATGTTGTCTGACCAGACGACATACTGCTGTAGTCTGAGATTTCTTTGCTCCACAGGAAAATGGGCAGGTGCCCCTTTAAATGCTAACACTGGAAACCGTTCTGGAGGATATCTGAAAAAGATGCAAACATCTAGGATATAATCTGCAATGTACAAGATTTGGAGAAAAGGCTGGACTTCAGTTTTTATCACAGTGACTGTAGATTAACTATGACATTCATAAATTATACATGTACATCAAAAGGCAATTTTTTAAAGTCATTGAAAAGAAGGACTAGAAAAGCTTTTATCTATATGTACTTTGATTTTGGACATTTCACAGCAAATGAAGTAATGAACATACATAAAACATCCACACAAGTGTATACCTTTCATGCCAACGTTTTACTTCAAAGTGGTTAGATGTATCAAAAGATAGAGGTTCATAAAATTCAGAGGCATCAAAATCTATTTTAAATGTGTCCCAGAAAGGTCCAAAGGGATTTCCATGTTTGGCATCACAGCCAGGCTCACCGGTGTAAGATGGACCGTAACAGAACACTGAAAAATAATGAACAGCTTCATCTGACATGAGAATTAACAGTCACTGGAAAAAAAGATTTATAACTTTATAAAACTGTCAAGTTAAATTATTCTCCTTTTAAAGTTGCACTTCAGAATTTGGTGATATTGTGGTGGCCCTTCAAATTTTGATGAAATTGTATGTGATAATTCTAATTATAGATTGTGAATCAAAGAGTGAAAGTAAAATGTACCAAGAAACCTTTTAATAGTCAGTCTCAACATTTTTTTTTTTTACAGCTTATTAAATCATTCATCAATTAATGAGTTAAAATATTGACAGCTTTACCTGTTCTATTCCCTTTTGGCCAGATTTTTGGTGCTAAATCTTTCATAAATTTTTCCATGGTGATTGCTCTGTGATATTTTTGCACAGTATCAACTCGGAAGTAAGTGTCAAAGGGTATTTGGTCCTAAAATACAAACAATTAAATCTACTGAAAAACATACAAGATTTTATGTTCAAAGATTATTTAAGCAAAAGTACATGCATTACTATTTACAATAAACTTCTGGAAATTATAATGTAAGGTTTGGAATTTTGTTAAAAAATAAACATTGCTTACTGATGTTGGTTTGGGGAAGTTATATTCAACCCAAGGTGGGAGAATGAGTGTTCTGTCAATATCTTTAGCAAATGCCAGGGATCCAAGAAAGTGGTCTGCCTGATTTCCAAATCTTCCTACATTAGCACAAAAAAGTATAAACATAGATTTTCTTATGTGTATCAAAAAGATGTTTATACATCTTTGATTACCTTCATTAAAAATGCATCGGAAACTGAAAATTGAGAAATAGTGAGGTGAAAATTGAATGGAGCAATTATATTAAAAAGTATTGATATTTCAGTGAATCTTTTCAGCCCTATAAATGAATACATGTACAATTGTACATTCAATGAAAATTTGAACACAACTCACCCATACATGGACAATATACCACATAACCCTTGGGATCAATCACATTGGAATTTAATGAGCGGAACAATGCCAACAGGACTACAGCAAGCAGCATCATTCTGTATAAAAGAACAGTAAATGTAGCAGATCAAAAAAAATTTTAAAAGCTAAAAAAAAACCATTCTATTGTTTAAATACCAATCCATGCATACTCAATACGATATATAGATTGATTTTGTGTGGATTTCAAAGTCAATTGGAAAAAACAAATAAAAACAAAATAAATTCGTATCAAATACAAATAGGCAATTATAAAAAAAAAAAAAAAAAAATTCAGTAAAATGTTGAAACATACAATAGACACTGGCATAAATAGAAATGAATAGAAAAGATCAACATAGCGATATATGACAAACCGTGCAGTAAGGTTCACTAATGAAATGGAAAGAGATGTGTTTATAAGCTACTGAAGCAATTAATTGATTTTTCCGATTGGCTTTAAGCTATCAAAACAGTGCACACACTTTATTTAAGCCAAAAATAGAAACGGAAATGCGATAACATCTGTGAAACTATTTTTCATGATAAGTGAAATCGATATCACTTTATATCCCCGAAATTTGAAAACATAAAAGAATATTCGATTGCTAAAATTGTCCTTTCACACCTTTTCCCTCAATTTAAAAAAATGAAAAACTTTTACTTAGTAAAAACATAAAATGCTATGGTTTGAAAAAATTGTTTACCTTCCAGTTCTACTTTCACTTTCTCAAACACGTTTCACTGCCAATATTTTGTAGAACGAACCCGACCCTAATTTAATTTTTTTCTTTACATGGCACTTTCTGCGACTTTTTTCCCACAATGAATGAATGATAAATAAATTTGCGTGGCTACTGGGCTAGGAACATTGTAGATCAGTTGGTAGACTGGTGATGCACATGATGTCCCAATCATTGTTAATGGGTCCAAGTTTCGATTCCTGGTCTAGCCATATTCTTCTGTCCCGATATGATTTACTGTATTTACTCAGAAGAGTTGACACAAATTAGCAATATCTAGAGTTCGTTTTTTCTTATCACAAATATACAATTCTTACATAATAAATATATATTTTTTTTATCTATACAGTAGGGATTTATTTTGGTGATGTGAAAAATGTCTTTCTCAATTAATTTCTCCTTTTTTTTAACACTGTCATCTCAAAATATTACTAAATGTGTGTTCCTAACATATTCTTTCACTGTTTCCACAACAAAACATTCCTTATAATTGTTGTTAATAGCACTCCTGGACCTAAAAAATCGAGATCATCGAAAATTTTGTCCATGAGTAAGGCATTTTGTAAAATCTATCTTTTTCACGATTGAAGTAAGAATATGGAAGAATTAATCCAGAACTAAGCACAACTTTTTGCACGCAATAAAAATGCAGTTTTTACAATAAGCTCTCCGGTCTGTCAAAGTATTTTTTTCAGAGAGCTACAGATCTGCAGCTTCAAGTTAAAAGACACAGAGACCATGTCTGGTTCAGTTGGTCTAAAAAATGATAGAAAACATGCATGTTCTTGAAATTTTTTAATTTGACCAGAAAAAAATTGCATCTTTTCACATACAAAATATCACAAGGATGTATTTCTCTTAATCTGCAAGCACACATATATGTTTAATTTATCCAGTTTGAATATAAGCACTGATATCATTAGAAAAATTCCTCTGTACTTAGATAGCACTCTATTCATTTTGTCAAACAAAATACACAACAATCGGAAAATATCAATATAAAAGTAGCACTATGTTTGTGAATTGATCATTCATTACATTACAAAAAATTTTTTTAGAAAAAAATCACAAATGGCAGTGTAATAATCAATTATTGACTCAACAAAATCACAAAAGGACAATGGACTAATACAATAACAGTTAATTCTTCTTCCTCTCCTTAAAGGAATCAATAAGGGAGGTAACTTTCTGAGGGAGGACCTCCTTATCATTTGCTGTAGAGGTTGAGGTCCCTCCTGACCTCTCCCTCTCCTCCCGCACCCTGGCGTCTTCTCGCTCACTGTTTTCCCGACGATCCTCTGGATTCTGGTCACGCCCACCTTTCCTACTCGGACGTTTCTTTTTGTGTTTCTTTTCCAGATATCTCTTCTGATGGGCCAGGATAGGAAACAGTTCTGCACAAATAAAAATGAGTTATAGGAAGAATGTTTATGTATTTAAGTTATTTTGTTATAAAACCCTCAAGAAGTTTAATTCTACATTTGAAATACTAAACAAGCAGAAACACAAATTCACTGTGACTGTAAGCAATAGTAGGTTAATATCCAAGAAAAGTACACTTAACATATGTTGACATACCTGATCTTTCCATCAGAGCGTTTGTGGCGGCCGACATTTCAGCCTGTTGTATACTGTGACCTATCCCGGTGGCGAGTCTCTCATGTCTGAAGTAGACAGCTACCGTGTACCGACGAGTGTTGGTAGGACCAATAGACTCAATACACCTGAAATCATATTTAAAATGATTGACTTGTCTCTCGAACAATATCTGAAACATTGTGCATCTATTGTATTAATGCATATGAGTGTATTTACATTATTAATTTTATAGTGAAATACATGTATATGTATAAATGAAAGTACTAAATACTGTAAAGACATTCTTTTCAAAATGTTTTTAAAGATCAAAGCATTATGTGCAAAATACATAAACAAATTAAATCTAACTCGAATATCACTTGAAACTCACTTATAAACAGGAATATCTGGCTCCCCTCCATCCAGTTCCCGTAATGTCAGACAACACTGCTGCAGCTGGGACTTGGGATCATTCCAATCTTGATTCAGAATAAAGTCCTGGAAAAATCAATGAACAATAACAATCATTACTTGTTTATTACAATCCTCTAAATGAAGGAGAAATAGATTCTTCTTAAATTCTGAACAGTGCAAAACTTGTATAACTCACCCTGAGCCTTGGGAAGAAACAGACTTCACAGAATTTGTAACAAACTTCTATGTCTTTGTCCACATACAAAGCACCAATAAATGCTGTTAAAGTAATTAAATTTAATTGAAAATAAAACATGTTATATTTTATTGAAGAGCACAGAAAACAGAATAAACACATATTCATAAAACAATAGTAACACACCCTCTAGGAGATCAGCCTTTTCTTTCGTCTTTTTGTCTTGCTTTTCTCCTCTGGCATCTGAGAAAATGACATACTCAGAAATTCCCAAGTCATCACAAACAATGGACTGAGTTCTGTTGTTGACCAGGGAGCTCCTTAATAACTATGGAAATCCAATAATAAAACATCTTACTATGGAATGCTCCAAAACGTCATTTGAAGTGAGTATAAATTTATTTTGATGAATTGCCACATTCATTATTATCTTTGAATGTTATCTAAGTAATGAAACTTAATACTATCTAGCTGAACAACTTACAGAGAGATGACCCTCATGATGGTCTGGGAAATGTTTAAACAAATAATCTGACGCCACTAACTGTAACACAGTGTCTCCAAGAAACTCCAGTCTCTGGTTATGTCCCCTGGAATAACATGGCAAATAAATAGAACTTCCAAAGAAAATTATTTTCAAACATGAAAGAGGAAAATATAAGGTAAATGACATTTTCAGGTAAATCATACTATTATCATCAGGTGTTTTAAAAATGAATTCACTTACAGTGTGAGATGGTTAAATCCTACACTCCTGAGAGTAAAGGCCCTGGCTAACAGGCGAATGTGATCAAATTTCACCCCAATGGACTCCTCAAATTGAACCAATTTCTACAAATAAAAAAAATTTCTCTAAATTGAAAAATCTTACATTCAACACCAGAATACTAATGATCATCAGTACATTCTCTCAAACAGTAATAAAATTTCCAAGATTTTTTACTCAATAATTTATTACAATGGTATATACTTAAAATTTACTGATATATATTACTTTTTACTGATATGATGACTGTATTACTCACCTGCAGTGTGGGACTAGACTCTATCCAGTGTCTGTCTGACCCCGGTTCATCCTCCTGTAGGACATGCTGTGGTAGTTCCCTCCAGATGTTTAGATACTTGTCTTCTCCCTTAAACAAGGTCTCCCCAAAAACCCTATCTGCCAGGTCAATTCCCCCATCCAAGTACAAAGCACCTAAAATGTGGCAGAAAAGGCACAAATATATCTCACATTACTAAAACTGAAGTATAAAACCAAACCTGATATTTTTTTACCCAAAGTCGTTTGCATGCTTAGAAGACATTCAATGTTTTATAGTTGGATATAGATTTATTTCACAAATGTGATAGGATTTTTTTTCAAATGTTTTCATTGCAAAGTGTGAAAAGAGTTAATTTTTTTTATTCTTTCTTGTGAGTGAGATGAATTTCACATCAAACTACAAAAACATTGAGATTTCTCTTTAAGACATTTTCTTTGCAAGAGATGACCTCATCACTTTTTTTTTAAATGTAATTTTCAACACAAGATTTCACAACAAATCAGAGAATCAGTTGAGTTTTATCCATTGGATAAATAACAATATTTCACTGTTGAAAATGATATGCCATGTAGAAATAATAAACTGTATCTTGCAGCTGTTTTACCTAATAATGCCTCAAAACAATTAGCCATAGCATGCTTCAGGTCTGATTCGTGGCAGAGATCCGGGCCGTGGGCATACAACATGTAGTTCTCCAGGTGGAGTTTCTGTAAGGAGATTGATATTATTAAATTAGAGTTTGAAACTGTTTCTTTGTCATTCACAAAACCTACAGTAAGTAATCTGACATTTTGTATAGCTGAAATTACGTTGATGTAAAAGAGATTAAAAGTTAACCTTGGCCAGCACGGCTAGCTGTTGATTCTGGACAATGGCAGCTCTGTAGGTGGTCAGTCCTCCTTCCTCTAGGTAAGGAAACATGTAGAACAGGTGGACACTGTCAACAGAAACTGAGAAATATGACAAATGTTTACACTATAGTCAACGTTTCTAAATTTTTTTTTAAATCCTAACAATTAAGGTTAGTAGACTGCTATTATGATAAAGTTGAGGGCAATGGTTGAATCAATATACTGAATACTAATATTATTTCCTTCTTAAATTATTCTCTCCAAGATACAATCCAGGTTTTTATTTCCCCCTGGGCACTACACTTCATAATAGGGACAAAGAAAATGTATGGCTGGACATGGAATCAAACTCAGGATCCCTGCATCACTAGCCATCACTCTACCCTCTGAGCTATCCAGGGTGATATGCACAGTCCCAACTATTACAAAATGTAATTCTCTTGTGCATCTGTACCAAGTATCAAGTAAATCTTACCTGGTTATAAATTCCACAACAGCATCCCCTAGATACTCAAGTCTCTCATTGTGGGGGATTTCTGAGGAACACTCATCCTGCTTCCCAAGGCGGGACATGATGTTGATCAAAATGTTGATACCTGTAGGGGTAAAAAAACAAAACAATTTCAGAAATATGCAGATAAACTTGTTTAAATCTGAAAAGATCCTACCTAACGAAAACAAAATTAATAATCAATGAAGAAAAAAATGTCAATATTTCTGCTTTATCACTGAACTTTGGAGTGTAGATACACATTTACCTTTTTTCCGTGTATGGACATAATGGATCTTGCGGTCCCCATACTCTAGCTGCCTGACTCCACAGTTGGACAGAGAATTCCTGGCATGGTCTGGGTTGGTTCCATAATTGACTTTGTAGGAAGTGTGAGTTAAAGCCAACTGAATAATAAAGAGGGGAAAATTAAATATTGTTTAAAACACAGTGCATAAAGGCTCTAAAATTTTTGTCTTTCTTTACAAAGTTTTCATAGCAAATTCTATCGACTGATTTTCTTTGTATGATATATAAATAATGATTAACCAGCTGTATTTGAACATACAGAACCTGTACATGTACATGTAAGATGGTTTCTTGTATTACCTGAAGAAGTTGTGGGTCTTTGAATTGATACTGAATTTCTTTCTGGAGTTCCTTTATACACAGATGGAACCTTAGGTGACCTAAGAGTACAGGCATCAACATAGCATGCTGAAAGGCAAACATAATATTGATGAGAATAATGCAAATCTATGTTTGTAAGCAGGAACACAATGAAAATTACCATAACTGTACGTTCATTGTGCAATCCTGAGTACTGTAAACAAACTTATATATGCGACGACTTTATTTCGAGATTTATTGGGGATAAACGAGCTAGAGATGATTTATTCTTGCAATCAAGCCTATTTTGGATCTGTTGTTATAAGGCACATAGACTATAAAGATTAATTCCCGGCAAGAAATATTCATGATGACGGGTCTCTCCCTGAAAATTTCTCCCTCACGAATAAAAGTTGGTTCACATTAAGTATATGAAATTATCATTATTAGAAAATGTATCTTTTTAAACCATGTTAATCGTGTTAATGTACAGCTTGCTAACCTGTGTAATATCCGATCTGATTCCCGTCCTCAGAAATCCCTCACTGCTAATCTCAACAGTTACCTCCCTTTTCATGGAGCTGAAATATTTCAAAAATATAATCATACACTTTTATTGAATTTTCTTTTGTTTTTTATTTGAAGTTTCAAAACGGACAACCAACATTCTTTACAAACTTTTGAAATTGAATAAAATGTAAATTGTGAGATGTCAATATGTGTAATAATTTTACTGTCATTTACTTTGGGTGGATCTACCTTTTCATTCTGAGGTCCTGTAGGTACTTTTCTTTAGCGTCTAGTTTCTGTTTGTCTGTAAAGGTGACCTTGGGCTTACTGTTCAACAGGTGCTTGAATTTAACATACTGCTTCCATGTTCTCTGATAGCTATAAAACAAAGTATAGCACTATCATTCTGTAAATTTACATTTTGAGACTAACTTTATTTCCTTTAAATATGATACTTCCTCCTTCAACAAATTTGACCAATACCTTTTAGGAAAATTTAAAATCCATTGATGCATGATTTTAATTTCAGAATTAACATAAAAAATCTCAGGTAATATATATGTATGAACATCACATTATGTACTTACTTGGGATCTCCAGCGTAACTGAGTTGAGCCGGTCGGATACCAAAGTGAATGATGAGTGGGAACTGTAGGTGATTACTGTCACCGTGTTGTCTGTCCAACTGGTCTATCCTTATACTGGTCGGCTTCTGTAATCATCATATCATTACATGTGTAAGCAAATGTTATAAATTTTTAAAATTTCTTCTAGCAATTATTTCAGATTCCCAAGATTTTGTTAACCCTGTTTCCTCACCATTCCTGGATACGTGACCACACTACCTCGGACCTCGTCCACTAGGCCCTGCCACTCGTTGACGTTGTACTTCAGAATCTGGGACAGTTCTGTCTCCTCCAGCAGTGGCTTGGAGCTCTTCAGTAAATAGGTCAGCACGTCATTCATGGACAGGATTTCTTTACCATTTTCTGCAAGAACAAAAATGATATGAACAAGCCCATTAGAACAGGATATAAACTGTGCTACTCCCATATACATTTTCTTACATTATCTCCTAGTTTTTCTTGTGATAGTGAGTCAGCATACAATTTTTTTTTAGCAACAATGAATGACTAATATCTGAAAACTTTTTGTCACACACATTTTCCCTTTTACATGCCAAAGTCAATACCTGGTAGAAGTCTGGCAAATCTTGGCATGAGATGGAATCTGTTACAGTGCTTCTCAGTTCCCGGACCTTTCCAGTCCAGGTCCACCAGCTCCAGAATCTCATCAAACAGGAACTGCTGGAAGAGGTCCAAACTCTTCAGTGTGAAGTTCTGAAAGTCAAACAAAATGGTGGAAAGTTAATTAAATATGCTGAAGTGTTTTATATTAAGAAGCTGCAAAAAATTTACAAAGAAAACAAAACACTTACATCTGGAATGGGCTCTTCAATTAAATGAATTGTGTAGTCAATGTTGAATCGTATGACCCTGCACACTGGTATCTAAAACATAATCATTCAAATGAATCACCAATGCAAAAACAACCTTAATCTAGTGAATTTTTCAAATAATCATAATACAAATTATACATACATTTTCTAGTTTTTCGTGAGACAATAGAGAGAATCCCTCAAATATGTATTCATGGTTGTCATGTTCAATTATGGTGGGAGCCTTGGTCTGAAATTGAATCATAATATGATAGTAGTGGTAATATGAACAATCTTAGAAAATATTCATGTACATACTCTAGCATTTTGCATATACATGTAAGAGCTGAACTTGAGTTCAATAAAACTCAAAAGTATTCTATATCTTGTCAATTTGTAGCTACCAGTCAATCTTTATCAATGACAACCCCCCTCCCACCTTTACTTGTTAATATACATACCAAGAAGTTGGTGGGAGGAGACATGGTGATTCTGTAGTGAAAGAGTTTATCACTGTTGTTACTGTGAGGGTCACAGCGGGGTATTGGCTGTAAATAAAGAAATTGCATCACATCTGAATATTAATTAGCTCATCAACAGAAAAAAAATGAATACATTGTATACATAAACATACCACATTGTGTTATATACATTTTATCTCAATTAAAGATAAACATTTTTAAAATACCTTTTCCCCAGGGTACTTGCTATGTCGAATTCCAGACTTCTGTGACTTGAGACTGCACTTGCAAAGTGGACCGTCATTTAACTAAAAAAGAATTGTAAACCATATCATACAAAATGAAAAAATGATGCTTATATGCATACACATTTCATAGAGAAGACTTCAATCATCTTTTGCCAATATTACATGTAATAAACTTATCAGAATGCAATGTACATGTATGTGTTTGATAATTAACATTCTCTGTTACAAAAATCACTGTGGATAAAAATTCATAAGACTTCTATCTTAAATAAAAGCATCTGTTTGATACATACCTCCCCTTTGTCATTGTACCAGAGGTCCTCACGGAGCCTGTAGGGGTGTGTCTTACTCTTGTTCAGGGCCTCTAGCCACTACTTACCTCCCCTTTGTCGTTGTACCAGAGGTCCTCATGGAGCCTGTAGGGGTGCGTCTTACTCTTGTTCAGGGCCTCTAGCCACTCCTCTTCCTTTGGCTCCTCCCCCTCCTCCAACTCTGAGTCAGACTCAGAGCTGCTGGAACTCTCATCACCTGAAACATAAAACAATCTAACTTCAGTAATTTGAAAGATTATAATCAAGCATTACTGTAAAATCTCTTATTTTCAAGGAGATTAAATCTTCTTGGTTTTTAAGGTATGAAGAGACCCACAAATTTATGTCCACCATGAAATGTAATTTTTCACAGATATTACTTTTCAACAACTCTTCATCCCTGCGAACCCATATTTTTTCCTCAAAAAATATGAAATTGACACCACAAAAATATGTGATTTTACTCAAATTTACTGTATTCCTCTATAAGAAAGCTTCTGTTGTATACCCGGATGACGTTTACCTGAATGATGATGATGATGTCGGTTCTCTACTATAGGACGGTCTGGAATATTGACCGGGGGTCGGGATTCTTTGACTCGAGTAGATCTCAGTACCAACTCATTCTCAAATTTCTCAACCAAATCCTGCATTCTTTTTGTAGCATTAAAACATCCAGTCTGCATAAAAAAATGCAAAGAACTTCATTGTGATATTTAGTTCAAAAATTAAGGTATTATTAATTGCTCTCCATACTTCACTAGCATCAGATGGATTTCAGTCTCAATGATACAATTTTTTTCACTAGTTAGTGCATTTAGGCATTAAAACATTCCCCTGACTTTTATCTAATTTATAAGTCATACCTCATTATTTCTTCTGAAGTAAAGATCAGCTGGGGAACATCTGAGCCATGCTGGAATGATCTCCTCTGGGAGTTCTATCTCATCCTGTCCATTCAGCATGTCATACTCCGAACGACCATCAGGCTGACGACCTTGACCCCTTTCTCTTCTGATGGGACTTCGGGATCGCCTCGGACTGGATCTTCTACTTAGAAAGAATTTGTTTAAATTTTTAAACCATTGAGGGATTACATTTCATCGGTAACATACTATATTTGAACATACTTCAAGATTTAAAAAAAAAAAAAAAAACAGTTCCAACCCTTCTGAGTATTTTTCAGTTTATTCTTTGCTGAACACATCAGTCCAAATATCCAGCCAAACCAAATCTCAAATGAGATCAGCAAATACTGTGTGAGCACACTTAAATACAGAGTGGTATTCATGCAAGTCTAAAGGCTTTAAACATATCCTTAGTTATTATTACCTGGGCCTGCTCCTGTCTGTCTGACTTCTGTTTCTATCTGGTCTGTATCTCCTGTCATCCCTGGAGTCTGTACTTCTGTCTCTTTCCCTCCTGTCCCCCTCCCGACCCCCACGGCTAAACTTCTTGTCATATGACCTTCCATCTCGCCAACTTCCTGAGCCCTTGGAGTCATCTCTTCTTTCTCTTGTTCTGCTTTCATCTCTATCATGCAGAAAAAATTAAAATGAGTTGACATGAGTGACACCATTACAAAAAAATTCAAAATGCTGAAATTGCCAGTTAAAGTAAGAAATGCTTACAGCGAACACACTTATAATGAAATGATGTTTACAGTCAAGTGATCTCCTTGTGACTTAAATATATATTTTAAACTTCACAGACATAATGAATCATGCTTATAACAAAGCAAAATTGTCCATCCTTGGCACTTTGCTATCAGTGTGTTTTACATGTATTGTACAGTGAAATATCAGTATCTTGAAGTTTGGGGGACCTGGACACGACTTCGAGATATCCGGGGGTTCGAGATATCCGAAGTTATCTTCCAAAGTCGAATCAATAATTTCCCGTTCTTTTCGTATATGTATCTTCATGCGTAATACTATCCTGTAGCATTTCTGCCGACCGCTAGGGGGAGATAAAGAACGATAATTCGAAGTTCTGAATTGTTGATATTGCTCTTGAATAGATAAACAAAACATCAGGTCGTGAGTTCTACTTGGAATACTTCCCTGGCGTATGACATTGTCCGAACAAGGTAAATAATTTTTTTTTAGGTTCATAGAAAGCTATTCTTACTCAGCTTTTATCTGTTACAACTTGAAATGTTAATAAAAATCATTCTAAAGGAACGTGTTATGAATTTGTCAACGAGGAAAAAAATTATTTGCAAAGGTATTTCTGCCCAACCTAAGCTAACCCATCAATTAAAAAGTGCAAAATATGTTCAGATATTTTTGTGCAAAATTACAGTTTGAACACAGGCAGCACTTTTTGGTGATCATTTTTTAAGTATATTGAAGTGGTGATGATTAGGTGTTTTATTACCTCCCTGTTGTTTATAGTTTTGTTCAACGTACGTCATATATTTTCATGGTAGGCATGTTCTATGTAGTTTCATTACCTAAAATTATGACAACATTTGCTTATGAATGATACTAATATAGTGAATAAGTTGAATTTAAATGCATCCGATTTTTTTGATGTTCTGTATTATGCTACACTAAAACAAAGAAACGGGTTATAGATAGGAGTTATCCTTCCTAACTCAAATTTATCTTTCCCTTGAGACACACATCGCTGTCTGAGGTAGGCTCTACCTATCACTTGATTTTATGAAATCTAGAAGGTGTTGAAACAAATTTCATTTAGAATATACCATTGTATGAAGATAGAATAATGAAAAATGACATTTGACCTTATAATGTTGTATTTTTATTTTTAGGAAGAATTGCTATATCCTGTATTGCCAAACATGTAGTCTTTATGGTAAAGACTCAAGCATATTCGCAATAAATATTAAGAAAAACAATTGTTGTTCTTTTCTTTATCGTGTATAATTGTAAAACAATTTAATATACTAGCCTTTTTGCATATACCATGTATACAGCGAATTTACATTTTCCAGGCCATGCTTACGTGGTCAAACGGGATGTATCGTTAGCGTTATAGTTGAAGAACCTTCTCCGTAAGAAAAGAAAAAAAGGCGAATTTCTTAAAAACATAATTTGATGAAATTTAGTGCAAAATGTTATTTAATAAATAATCAGTATTCAAACTGTGTACTTGAATATTATTAATAGCTTGCACGTTTTACATCACGAAGTACTAGTAAGGAACATATAGTTTACGAATCTAACAATGCAAATGGCGGTCAAGGTTATCTATTTATACGCAGATAAACATGAATGTAATCAATCACTGTGCATTATGCACCGCAACTTAACTGTTTAATTTAACTTAATTGTGAAAAATATTTGAGTTTCATGAATTTACGATTTTAATTTTACAGAGCATATTAGCAATATTATTAAATGCAATATCGGTAATATTGCCTGTATTTAATATCTGAGTTGCTGCGAAGTGGTTTGTTTTATCGGCGGTAGACTACACCAAACACCCAAGCCGTCATACCAATTAACCTGTCACAGATACCCAACATGAGCTTGGTATTAATCAAGATTCCCCAAGTTTGAAGGTGTTAATTAATAGCCACTTGCGAGAGTGTGTGAAATCACGACGCCAGGTGTGTTCAGTAGACGGAAAAATTCACTGCACTTCGAGATAAGCCAGGTAGAAAAGGGGTTGGGACTTTGAATATACTTCGACATAAGCGGGGTATTCGAGATTACCGTGTTCGAGATATCAGGTGTTTTTAAAATCATTTATAGAGAGAAAACGGCCGGGACCGGCGATCGACTTCGACATAAGCGGGGTATTCGAGATATCCCATGTTCGAGATACTGATATTTACCTGTATATAGTATTCCTGAACATAGGTAAGGGTTATCCTCTTTAAAAATAAAGCATGCACAATTAAAATTGAAAACTACAATTACATGCAAATGCAATGTACATGTATATTATGTTTATCTATTTAAAACTGACCTGGATCTATCCCCTCTTTCTGACCTCCCCCTGTCCCTCCTATCCCTCCTATCCTCCCGGTCAGATCTGTCTCTGTCCCGTCCGCTGCGTTCTCGATCCTCCTTCCTACTGGACTGACCAACTCCAGGAGATGGTTGACCACTCTGGTTCTGACCAACAGGAGAGATCCCCTGCTGGAACAGACCTGCTTGAAGTCCCACCATGTTCTGTGCTATATTTGGGATCATCCCAGGTGCTCGGATGCTAGGTGTGTCTAGAATACCTAGCCCTGATCCTGGGGGTGGCAGCTACAGAATATGTTGAAATTTCATATAACATGTTGAGTCCTGTGGACAGCTTTCTTTTTTATCATGCACATTTTTATGTATTCCAATAAAATCCTGTTTCCAGCAAGTTTAATTTGCAATTACCCTTTGTAATTATCTTATATTAATATTCAAAATATTTATTGACAATTTACAGCAAAATAATAATTGTAAAGAGAGTATCTGTTAAAAAATAAGATATGCAAATCTTACAATGAATTCGTTTACCTGTATATTAAGACCAGGAATCATTGGTGTAATTCCCCTCTGAAACATCTGATTGGTTCCCGTCACAATGCCTCCAGCACCTGGAAGCATCTGATTGGCCCCTGTCATATTAACTCCTGAAGATGACAACATTTGATTGGCTCCCTGCTGCATCATTTGAAGGTTTGCCATTGCCTGGTTAGCCATTCCTTGTCTTAGACCTTGCAAAGCACCTGGTGCTCGAGTATTCCACATTGCAGTCCCTAAAAGACATAACAACATTCAATGAATGTAAGTAATTTGTATATTATTTTAAGCCCTTATGCATGCTTATAAATTCATTTAATATATACTTGAAGGAAAGTAGCTAAAACATCAACATCTTTAATTCATGAGATTTCAAAGCAAGTACAAATTCCCAGGACTAACAGACTTACATGTAAATATATTTTGACCTCAATATCTCAGATCTAATGATGATATCAAGAATAATGCTCACTAAATGCTTCAAAATTTTTAGTACAATGTGCACTACTTTTTTAATTTCCCTCCTAATTGCATTTTAACAAGCTCAGAAATATAGATACAAAAAAAAAAAAATTACAAGTGAAGATGCAATTATGTAGTGCTCTCCAATACCTAAATATAAAGTGAGCTTACCTGCATTCTGCAAAGTTGCTGGATTGAAGAGCTGCATGTTTGGAGCCACCGACATCTGGAGTCCCATCATTTGCTGTATGTTACCTGGAGACCTCCCCTGTAGTAACATATTACTCTGCTGTAGCATTCCAGGGTTTGTGAGGGGTGACATATTGTTTCCTGTACTCTACAAGATTTATTTTTTTTCCATAAAATCAAAGTCTGAGGCACATTAATTGCTAAACTTTACAAGCAAGAAAACAGTACAGTCGAATCTCAAGCAAATTGTATATTGTGAAATCAATATTTTTTTAATCAAGTGGTTAATTTTCTTTGCTTTTGTAGTATGAAGAGACAAATGAATTCATGAAGAAAAATTAACATACACAAGTGGACATAAAATTTGTGGACACAAGACCACTAGCTTGCAAGGATGATTAAATTGTCGTGAGAATATTATCAAACATTAATCATGTACATGACAATCAAGCAAATAGCCAATAAAAACAAGTACACAATAGTTACGTGAGTAGGTGACAAAAAAATGATTACACAACAGTTATGCCGATTTTGATATGGTTATTAGAGACACAATCCAAAAACTCTTGTGAGCTGAAGACAAAATAAAACATAGAAGAACTGCTCCATCTTGAACTTCAATATCCCAGGCACCTTGGATAGTCAAATTGTTTGCAATTGAAAGCCCCAAACATTTTTACTTTATGTATTTTTACCTTAAAATATCTAATCATCAGCTTATCTCTGTGAGATTTGTCGATCCTAAAAAAATTGTACATACATGCCAACTTTTGAAAATTTTCTTGGGGGAGATTGCCCATAACGACATTTTTTGAAGTTCCTAATTCGCAGCGTTTTGTCGTGAAATAACTTTTTGTAAGTTGTTTTTTTCTAAATTATCAATCTACTACCTTAATTATATCATATATTATTACTACTTCAAAAAGTGTTTTCTTCTCTATCAATTAACTTAAACAAAAACACAAATACAATATCATTTGAAATTTTTAAAAAAAGACAATTTTATTCAAAATTATTTAATATGTTAATATTAAGATAAATATAAGATAAATATACCCCCTGTCTTAAAGAATGTGATACACAAAGTTAACATATTACTACATGAATAAGGATGTTAAACTTTACAAATAAGCTGAACTGTTCATTGTCTGTTGGTAAATTACAAAGTTTATAAGACTGTTATACAAAATATTGTTAAATTATTTTTTTCTTAATCAAAGGGAATATTAAGAAGTCATTTTTAACTTTTCAATCAAAGTCTGCGAAAGGCATGGTCTTTTCCTTTCTCTTTTTTTTTTTTTTTTAATCACTCTGGGCAGTCCTTATAGTTTTTACTTGCAGGCACATTTTTTCCATGTTGGATTTTGGCAGTGTCTTTTCCATGAAGTAGATTATAATTTAATGAGGAATGCAATATTCCAAAACTTGAAGTTGAACACCTTTTATAAACAATTTATATGTATATATTGTCGAAGTCTGCTGTAAAGTGTGAACTCTCACAAGTTTGTCAGTTTGTATCCAGTGTCGTGTGTATTTCTAAAATTTCCACATCTGGCATAATACGCGAGTTTCGAGATTGTAACTCTCCTGCGATAGAGGCGCGAAAAGTATCCATTTCAGCAAGGAGGTGGGACAGGTTGTTGATGCAAACAAACGGGCATAAGTAAATGAACGATGTTTACGTCTTTAAAAATTCATTTAATGTAATAGAAAGATTAAAATGTTCAGCATTGATGCTTTTGGTGATTGTATTAAGCCCAACTACACATACACTGTATTTACCAAATCTATATTGAATTAGGATAATTGAAAACGAAATTTCTGGTAAAATAATGGCCAGGTTTTTTTAACTGAATAAAATAAACAAATATTTTATGAAAATTGGCTAAAAATTTATTATTATTGATCTATCATCTGCTTTACAATTTTGAATAATTAAGGAAAACATCATATTTATTAGTTTTAAGTGTTTTATTTCTTGAAAATATATGCTATAAAATTTCCCAAAAAATTCCCAGCATGTGTGGAAAATCATTTAAAATTCTGACGTGCAATGATCTGATGCGTGTGTGTATTTATGAGAGATCCATGTCTCTTAATGGCCTTATCCCCTCGTCTAATGTCTTCTATTCACTATTTTTTCTTCAGTTCCGATTTTTTCTCTTTAAATGACACCTTAACATTAATTCAAATTAAAAGAGTGCATCCTGACAATCATGCAGTTGTGATAAATCAGTACATCGATGATGCAATGTATCCAATATATATATATATAATATAAATAACTGTCCCACCTGTTTGTTTACGTGGAAACAAAACTCGCCTCCGTAACGAAAGAGCGCGCCAAGGGAGATAATCTCGAAATTTGCGTATTGTCTCGGTTATCAGCGGCAATAAACAGATATCCTACCGATAAACATTGAAACAGCCAGGTTTTCTGCACTCGGAAATACTGTATTATTCAAAGCGAATCGGTAAAAAATCCGGATTTTCGAAATATCGGTAGAAATGGGAGAAAAAAAATTAATCGGTAGACAAGTGGTAGACAGGGTTAAAAATCGGTAGACTCCCAAAAAAATCGGGAAAGTTGGCATGTATGATTGTACTGGTCTCTTCTGAAGACTCTTAGATTCTTCTTGGAAGAGATGTCATTAAATTTTTTAAAAATCGATGAATCTTACTGAGCTAAATCACCTGCTGTCTCAATCCCCTGGGTTTTAATGGGTTCAAGATAAAGAGGCATTACTTTATCTTAAAATGTCCTCTTGGTATTGCATTATTTCATATTTGTGCATACGAAAAATTCTCTGGCACTTGACGTTTCTTATTTTTCTTATATAAAAAATAACCCCACAAAAATTATCAGGTATGGGGTAAATTTTTTTTACATATTAAAATTAAGTGACATGAGGTGCCTTTGGAACAATTCTATTCATTTCCTTTGTTGTGTTTAACTATGAGTATGATGCTTATCACCTGTGGCTGTGCATTGCAATCTACATGTATTGCAATGGTCACTTCGGCGAATTATTCAAGCTTACCCTTCCATCATTTCTTATTCCTTGATTTCCAAAGAAATTCATGATAATTTTTGAATACTGCTCATCTGTATATTGGACAAAATAGCGACATTAGCTGATAAAACCGACACAAGACATCGTCACCTCACTTCTCTCTTCTCCATTCATTCCCAGCCATTTTTGGAATGACGAGCCCGATGTAATTTCAGCCAGTTAAAAACTAGAACATTTGCCTATCGCACCTGTCATGGGTTACACTATGTAGCGTTCTTGTATGTTTAGAATAGTAGTATCAAGGATCTCATGCATCCATAAGAACCCTGAGATCAGACTAATATCACGGATCCACGTCATGGCAAGCGTGGAAGAGAGAAAGATAAGTGCCATAGTTGGGGCACTGGTGGCAGATGCTGCAGGTAACTTACTTTATTGGTAAACAAAGCACCATAAAGAGTTGTCTATACAGATGATCAGTACCAGAATAAGTTAGTAATACTTGGTTAGGTTCAAAAGAACAGTTGTTAAGCAATTGTATCACTAACAAGAAAGGAGAAAATGCAAGTGAGAGTGCAAGAATCGAACCGGGACCAGAGCTTGTATCATTTATAGTCAGCTTCTTCTCTTACACTAAGCTAGTAGGCAGGCCAATTATCCACGGCACAAACCATTACACAATTTTAACAAGATGTGTTTTGTGATACACTATGCACCCGGCGGCAATAACTATAAGGTTCAAAAAAGCTATTTTTAGCATATAGGTCAAGGTCACAAGGTCATTGAACTTGGTGCCCTTTGAAAGAACTTAATAAGTAGAGTATGATTACCAAATGTGAAGTCTTTATCTCCTATGGTTCAAAAGTTGAAGCAAAGGTTCGAAAAAGCTATTTTTAGCATATAGGTCGCCTTCAAGGTCACAAGGTCATTGACCGTGGTGTCATTTGAAAGAGTAACTAGTAAAGTAAGCATACTAAATATGAAATTACTATCTCTCATGGTTCAAAAGTTATGGCAAAGGTTAAAGTTGACAACAGAAAGACAAACAGACAGACATGACATAAACAATGCAATACAATATGATCTATCCATCCAAGCACATAAAAATGTTGTCCACAGACCAGCGGAGAATTTGAACCAGGGTCAGAAAGATCCTTAATACTAAATGAGCTTTCTGGCCACTGCGTGTAACCAAACCTGCCTGACCACCTTATTCCTCCCTCTTTAGAGGTCTTTGGATCCAGATGTTCCACTTGTCACTTTTAGTTAATTCACAGTGTAAAATGTGTACATCTCAAGAGCACAAAATGTGACCAGAATTCATTCCTAGGCCCCCATGTATCTCCAGCCAGGTTCTCTACCAATTACTGAGCTGTTTGGTCACTGGCAACCTAACTCTCTGACCACCACCGCCACACATTTAGTTATTTGGTGTATATGATGAATTAAAAGTCTTAACTGTAGAGCTGTCAGTATATTGACTATATATTGATAGGATTTTATTGAAAACTATTTATATTGATTGATAAGTCATTCTTATTTTGATTTTATCTAGCCCAACCTATACACTGGAATTATAAGACTGCAGATTTGGATGCGTTTCTAAAGGACAAAGATGAAGTTGCATTCTTGGAACCGTCCAGAAATCCTTTCTATTGTATCAAGACTGGAAAGCACAGTTGCTATGGAGACCAATCCAGAACCATCCTGAAGTCACTGGTGGAAAATGGAGGTAATAACTTGATCTATTGTTAATAAAACAAGAGTTCTCCATCTTGTAACTTGAAAAATTATGTGTTTCAACTTTCAAGACACTGACTTAATTGCTGGATTAAACATGCATTATTTATGGAAATTTGACATTTGAATTTAGGTGTCAATATTGAAAAACTGAAGAAATCCATGTTTGAGATGTTTGGTCCAGACTCTGAGTATGAAAATGAAGACAATGCTACTTATAAAGACAAATCAGGTATATGCTTGGCAAAGAAGATAATATATATATCAAGAGTGAAGACTTTTTGGTAATGCCATATTGCACATGACAGTGTGAACATTCCTTACACTTGATTTGACATAAATTCTCCTTACTTCGCAAACGAAAAATATGTAATTTCTTCACCAGATGTTGTGAAGAAGGTGTATCCTATCAACACTCCATGGAGACATGCCAGTATCAAGTCATTCCTGAAAAATTACAGTGAAGGGGCTGAAATTACAGGTATAAATTTAATTCAATCAACGTAAAAAAATAAATATACCGGGTAAATTGCAGTTCTATTGTTTTTACAAGAATTTCTATATTCTTATAATTTTGTTACTTTGCTTGACATTATAGTTTGAAATATTTGATCAAAATTAGAAAATTTATATGCATTATTAACAGTTCAAAACATAATATAACTGGCTGTGAAACAGTGAAACCTCATTATTTCAAATAATATGGGACTGCTGAAAAACTGTGTAATCTGACAGTTTAATTAAGACATTGAGGTTAGAATAGAAAAATAAAATGTTGCTAGGACTTCAAACTTACCTTAACATGCCCTTTGTATTCAAGATGTTTTATTAAATTAATCTTTAATTTCTATGTTTTATCATATACCACAGGTATTGAGGATAATCAGATGGACTGTGTTATCAATATGATCAGTGTGGTGGCCCTGTATGCTGGGAGACCAGAGATGTTAGACAAAGTAGAGGAGATCATTTCTGTGACTCAGAACTCAGACATCAATGTAGCTGTGGCCTTCACTGCAGCAAGGTGGGTCTCTTAAATGCAATCAAATCCTGTTATCTTGTACTCCCTGGGATGAAGAAATAACTGAGATATTTAAGAATTCAAGATATTTAGGGATAAAAAAAAAAGTGGTTGGCCTCACCAGATCACTTTGACATACCCATAGTTTTGGAGATATGGATGTTAAGGATTCCTAAGTTAGCAATACAGCTATTGATGTTACTCTATATCAGTTTAATTTATTTCTAGAAGTTGCAACAATTAAATATTTTAAGTACAGTTTAAATAAAGTTGCCTCAGAATATTGTTTAGTGTATCTAAAACAGCTGATTGTAATTAAATTAATTCTTGTTAATATAATGAAGGTTACTTGAATACTTCATTCTCCATGGGAAGACTCCTGGTTTGGACGCCTTGAATTCCGTTTTGGAGGAGATGAAGAATCCCCAGAGACGGAGCCCCCAGGATCTGGACAAGGCCATGATTGGTCACATGAAGAAAGTTATCGAGGAGATGGAGACTGATCATGTAACAGCTGCTCGGAAATTCAACATCACCTGAGGTACCTCACGATATATAGGAGAGCACCTCTGTCAATATCTGCATATCAAATAATACAATGTAATTAGCAACTGATGGCTTATTTGTAAAAATACCAGTTTAAGTTTCATGGGTCTCCATTCAGATTCCCCTCTGGTCTATTTTTTTTCCTTCCTTCCTATTTTTATAGTCTAAAAATATGTTAAGGCAGTGCTTATACACATGTCTCTGTTTAAATGCATTTATTAAAACTCTGTTATTCCTCCCCACAGCAATACCTGGGGCCTTTCAGTCTGCTGTGCATGGTGTGATTACTAACACTGAGTACGTGACTGGGGTCCGTCGTACAATCCGAGCAGGGGGATGTAACTGTTCCAGAGCCGGGTTCATTGGAGCATGTCTAGGTGCTCAGGTAAGGTGCTAAAGGAAGCATTGATTTCTGTATTAACTTTCCATTGTTCTTTCATCTGTTTGTTTGTCTGTTTTTTCTGTCAACAGTCAACTCTAATCTTTTTTCATATTTCATTTCTTTTTCAAAATCAATGTTGTTACTATAGTGTTTCAATTAACCTGGCAAATAACTACAGATTTAAAGGAACTGAGTGAGAAGTTGTTCGAATTTTTCAGAAACTCTATGGTTTTTTTTTTCCAGAATGGTTTACAAGAAATTCCAGAAGAATGGAAGAGGAAGACACTGTCATATGAAGAAGTTTCCCAGCTGGCAAACAAATTAGTTGCAATTCAGTTAGAGTAATTTAATAATTTTTATAAACAAATTCAAATTGAATATAAAAAATATATTTGTATTTTTTATCAAAATTTAATTGAACATTTATTGAAATATCAATTTTATTTTATTTCTATTGAATGATTAATTTTTATAACTCTTGTATACATTTGGTTTTCATATTTTGTTCAGCACCCCAGTGGATGGATTAAGGTTGAAAAACGATGATTTAGATTTTTATTAGATTAACGAAGACAAAAAGCCACATGTGTGCTTATAAAGGGCAGTAGTATTTATTCACACAATGACATTTCACAACTTTTGAATGCTTATTTTCTGAATTTAGCACACAGATCAACAGATAAATGAAAATCTCTTCTAAACCCTTTCTAAGGCTGATCAGATTTGATGTTAAACACTGCTATCTGTGTGTTAATTTCAGCTATTCCTTTCTTGTTGTGTTTTTTAAAAACATTTTTCAAAAATATGCTTTTCAATTTTAAAAGTTGTCTTCCTTCAATAAAAGAAGGGATGATTGTTTTGAAAAGATATTGTTGCCAAAATCAGTTGTTTTTAAATAATGTATACATTGTTGATATGTTCTGTTCTAATATATATACTCATTACTACAAATTTTTTGATTGTTATTTTACAATTTTTATTAAAATTTGATTTTATTCAAGTATAATTAAATGAGGACAATGGAATGAGAGTTGTTTTATGTATGAAGATAATGATTCTCTTAATTTACCATCAACTTTTCATATAAGCAAATAAAAAGAAGTTTTGATATCCAATAGAGCTAATTATAACAGAAGTCATGAGCTGTTATAACACTCATACATTTCCTTTCTGTGAATGGCAATAATTTTATTGAGACCATGGCACCTCCATCTTCCCAAGTCAAGAGTTACTGATCAACTCTGCTTATGCAGTTTACTGTTGTTCATTGAATGTGAGCTAAATCTCTTCTTATCCTGTTACATGGTGTCTAATACTCTCCAGTTGAGAATTTGAACAGTATGGTTATATGCATTCCACTGGCTTGTTTATATCACGTCAAACACAGAAAAAAATGTTTCATATTTTTCTTTAAAAATAAGGTATTGTTTTGTGTTGTTTAGGAAAACAAAATTATGTAACATCAAGTACCTGTGTTGTCTATATACATGTCTACTTCCTACATTAAATTCTAAATAATTGCATCACAATTCCCAGCTGACTGTTACGTGATTTGCCATCATGTCATCAATGAAATATTGATGAGAATGTCTAACCAAAACAGAGTACACTTGCATATACTGGAGTTTATGTATGATGTTCTTTAAAATCAATACAAGCAATTCAAAAGCGATGTGCAGGGTTGTCCCTAAAAATTTGAAATAGCAGAGGACGTTGAAAAAATAGAAGGTGCTCTGGGGGTTTTCTCCCCTAACAATGGGATGAGAGGGAGTACCAAAATAACGGGGTAATTATGTCATAATTGGCAGGGAAATTCCCGGGCACCCAGGCTTAGGAACAACCCCGGATATAGAATGAAATGAAGCTGACAAAAAATCAGTTGAAAGAAAATAAAACAATCTTAAATTTATTATTTATTAAATATTATCTTATTTGATATCAAAATCCACTGCTTAAAGCTGAATTCAGTCTTTACATATATTTTATCCTTTATTATATCTTGTAAAAGTTTAAGTATACACATATAAATTAAATATGCAATGTGGATTAATTAATACATTTTATCAAGATGGTTCCACTGGTAAATTATCAATTGGACAGTTCACAGAAGAGTTAGTTAGCCACATCTCAATACAGCTGGAGTGAAACTCATGATTACAGGGAAGAAATTTACGAGTCTGGCCTATTTCATAGACCTCCATACAAATAGCACACAAGGCACCAGCTGAAGTCTCATCAATAGTCTCTGTTTTAAAGTTTTTAATGGTGGTGGATGACACAGTTTTAGGGGCCACTTGTTCATCCAGTCTGAGTAGTAATTCATAATCCTCAGGGGTAAGGTCTCGGTGTTGCAATCCGATCAGAATGTTTACTACAGCACTGTCAAAGTCTGAGGGGGCGTTGTAATTATCTAGAGCATAGGCCAGGTTTTGAGGTGGGGGGCGTGGAGCTACCACATCAGAATGGGAACCTTTTGGTTTTATGGTTTTGGTCTTCTTTAATTCTTCTCTGCTTAAAGTTATCTTCTCTTTCTTTCTACTTGGCATACAATTAAGGCTTATTGTGATTTCCATAGACATTAGTTTGTAAACTCTGTGATTAATGTATAGATGTTTTCGTCCATTATTGTTCTGAATGCTAAGACAATGTTTGGTTTTTATTTGTTTGTGCGCTTTCTCCACTTTTCTGTCCCGATCAGCACGGATTTCTATTTTCATATTTCCACTCATACATCCCTCCATCTCTTGGAATTCTTCAAATTTCTCAGTCAATCTCTCCATTTCATCACATTCATTCTCAATCTTCAAGTAAAGCTCCTGGGCATCACAATCAATACTAACATTGTCACACACTGGTCTAGGAAAGAGTGAGATTTTAAATCCCATTTCATCATTAGGTAAGTATTTCCATCTCTTTCCCTTTTTCTCAATCTTTTCCTTCTTCTTTGTCTTTTTGCGTGATTTTGAACCATACTTTTCTAAAATATCATCAGGAATTTCACACTTCTTATACCTCCTGCCTGTGTCTGGAACAATTTCGACCTTTTTGTCCTCCTCAAGTCTTTTATTTTCCTCCTTTTCATTTGATGTGGTTGTATCTTCTATAAATGTGAATGAATCAATAGTTTCTTCCATCTTAGAAAGTGGCTGCATTTCTTCTGATTCTCCCGGATTAAATTTGCTCTCCTGAGGAAGCGTATTTTGGCGAAGAATTAGGGTGAAATCATCGCCAAATGTAGAAACAGGGCTGTAGCACATCATAGCGCCTTCCCTTTGATGATGCCCAAACGAATGGATTTGAGGGAGTAAGAGGGCTTCCATTTCACAGCTGATGACTTGTTCGATGTTTTACAGGAAAATGCCGGTGTGACAACATTGCTTTAATTTTTTATAACTGGTTTTCAGACTGACTATTGCACCACTAATGGCAACAAACAACACTGCTAATTTTAGAAAACTACAGCATGTGACGTATGCTGGACGTCTCTTGATTGGTCAAAGTTGGCGATGTTCTCGCGAGATTTACAATTTATAAACAATAAGTGGAAAACACCCTCTGCTATTTTTAGAATAAAAAGAAAGTAGAAAACGGCATGGAAGAGAGTTTCACACCATACGATCATGTGAAGGTGATTAAAAGATAATAATCTTTGAATATATTTGTATATTATTTAATTATTTAAAGTTACTTACCAACTGCTTATCTTTTGACTAAATATAGACTTTCTCTTTTCACTTTTTTAGTTCAAAGAATTGGAAAGCTTTGGTTTGAAAAATTTAGTGCAGATGAGAACAACTTTTAATGTGTACCTAGACTTATGTGAAGGTAATTAACATACACACTACGGAGAAAACTACCCATGTACATCGAGCATCCTCACAACTTTGGGTTCTGCATTATCATGAGTCCCCTCATGTCCATGAGCCATGAGTGAACTCAGAAACCCTTGCATTTTGTGGATGGTAAATGAGAGAGAAATAACTTTTTGCTGAAAAAAGGAAATAATATACTAAATTTTAGTGTTATAATAAGATAGATAATTAAAGATTTAATTTTAATGTTATATTGCCATAATAATTTGATATTTTTTTTCAGTGAGAGGATGGTGGAATGTAAAGCTGCATGGATGTAAAGACCTTGACCTGGCCTTCATCTCAGGTCATCCCACAAGAGAGGAAGCCAGAGAAATTATTTTGCCACTTTTGAGTTCAGACAGTATCAGCACACACTGCCTACAACAGTATCTAAAGAAAATTAAAGTTGATGGATATGAAACTCATGGGTATGTTGTAGCTTAGGTCTACTTGCTCACAGTAGAGAGAGGAGGAGATACATAAAGCTATTCTTTTCAAAAATAAATGCAGGAAAGTAGATTAATTACTGGTATTTGCACAGAGAGAGAGAGAGAGAGAGAGAGAGAGAAAGAGAGAGAGAGAGAGAGAGAGAGAGAGGTGCTGGAAGAATTTTTTTACACACTGACATGTTTTCTACTTCATAGACTTTTAAAAGTTTTCATCATACATTTTTTTTTATGTTATAATTTTATTTGTTAAATTTTTTGGGGTTTTTTTTCAGAATAACCTTAGCTATCTGTGATGCTGACACCACCACAGTATACTACAAGATAACAGAAGGGTTAGTGACCCCTGAACCCCCAGAGGTCACAGAGGTGAAAAAGGTCCAAAGATTTGAAATGATTAGAAAGCGTCAGCTCAACACACAAAGAGCAGTTCAGTCATATAAAACTGCAAAGCTAAAAGACAGTACACCACAGGAGGGTGAGGGGGCCAACACTGAGAAGGATGAGGGGCTGAACACTGGGGAGGATGCATCAGTGACCTAGCTGGTTGATCTCATATAGAATATATGTATTTTATTATAGCACTGCCTATGCACTCATGAAGAACCCACTTTACTACAGCTCTAAATGGAAAATGATGGGAGAAGAGACTGCTTTGTTTAATTGTTCTTTTAATGGAAGTGTGCCTGAGGGCTCAAGATGTATTAATTATCTGGGTTATATTGTTTCCAGCCTGACAAAAGAATTAATGGATAAAGAAAAAAATAAAGAAGATATATCCAATGAAATATTAGATACTACAGAAAATGTTTTTTGTTTGTTTGTTTGTTTTTTGTCATTGAAAACTGTTTCAATGTATACAGTTATTAAGATACTTCTCAATACACATGTACTGGTAAATATGCATCAATGTATTTTTTGCAATAATTTTTCAAAGGAAAAAAGAAGTAATTGGTTTTGGACGATTTTGACAACCGTTTTATGCCAAGATTTGCATTATCATAAAGAAAAGAACTTTATACTCACTGTAAAGGCATATCCTCTACAAAAGCCAAAATTAAAAAATCTCATAAATGAACTTGTGATGTTGTGTTTCAGCTTTGGCCTCAAAGTCAGTACGGGTCTATTTTTAGTTAAAGGGATTCAACATCATTTGTTTCTTTCATAATTATCAAAGAGAACTAAAAGTTATCAATACACATGTATATGAATTATGAAAATTCCTTTTAAAGCAGACCTTGAGTCAAGGTCATATCACATCCTCAGGTCATAAGCAATATTTGTATAATAGGAACCTACCAATCTTATCCATTAGAAAGATATGGACCAGACACTAATTATGTACTTTTTTCTTTAGTGACCTTGAACTTGCACAAATGATTTTGGGTCAAGCTCATGACACACCCTCAGGTCATGAGCAATCTTAGTGTAAAATGGGAACTCACCACATTTATCCATAAGAAAAATATGGACTGGACATGAGTTAATGAGCATTTTTCTTTCCATGACCTTGAATTTGCAGAAATGACCTTGAGTCAAAGTCATGCTTACACCATCAGGTCATAAGAAATCTTTGTATAAAAGAGGAACCCACCAAGCTTATCCATAAGAAAGATGTGGACCAGACACAAATTATGCACTTTTTTAGTGACCTTGAACTTTCACAATGACTTTGGGTCAAGGTCATGACATACCCTCAGGTCGTATGCAATCTTTATGTGAAGTCGTAGATTCAAGTTTTTCTTTACAAGAGAAAGGCATGGACGAAACATGAATTAGGAATATTTTTCTTTCAATGACCTTTAACTTGCCCAAATGACCTTAGGTCAAGGTCATGGCACATCCTTAGGTCATGAGCAATCTTTGTGTGAAGTAACAGATTCTTATGTTCCGCCATAAGAAATGTACCGGACAAGTTTGCACAGACAGATGGACAAATGGACAAGCTGATTCCTATATACCCCCCTCCCCCAACTTCGTTTGCAGGGGATATAAAAAGTGTAGAATTAATTTTACCTAATGATTTTTAAACGGGATTCTTAAATTGTCTAAAGAAATCAAAAAGCTAAAGTTCTAAACATCAACATGGTTTCCTGCTTATATACTTGACGAAGTACATGTATCTCAATTATTTGTGTTTTAAACATGTTATTAAAAGTACATGTAGCAATATTTTAGAAAAAATTATAAATATTTTTAGGAACGTATCGTCTGTCCGTAAATCCACCACTGTTTATTATCCATTCATTCGCTCATAAAATAAATTAATCTGAATTTTTCTTGTAAATATCGTACACAACCTCGCAATTACCAAGTATTGAACATTTATGGGAGTTTTTGCACGTCAAGTCCTCATTAGCTCTAATAAAGAACATGACAATGACTTTAATTGATTAGAAATATTTTAAACATGTTAAAGTTACACAAATGGCATGTTTTGACAATGAAGTTGACGCATTGTCATTACCAAGAATTTTAATCCTAACATCCTAACACGTGTTACTTTGTTAAGTTGTTTTTCAATAATTTTCGATCGAAAGTTTTTCTGTTGACCACCAGATTGTTTACGACTTAACTAAGACGATTGAATAATTGTCCATATGTCGTAAAGCAGTATATAGTATGGCATGTTTCCGAGGGTCGGAGAAAGATAAATATAACCCTGTCATTACGCTCCGTTTGTGAAACAAAACCCATTAGGCCGGTGAGGGTTGACTGCATGTCTCCGGAAATACCTATACTATCAAGGTATGTCTGTAATATACAGTAGATATGTACTTATAGACTGATGAAATTAACATGTTCTTGTTTATATAAAGTATAATTCACTTTTTTTACAGAATATGAATTTAGCTGATCACGGAATAGCGTTTATGGCTGCAATTGTCTGCATTCTTGGTTTACCAACAGTTCTCTTCGGAAAGAAATGTAAGTTAAACATCTGGGTTTTTTTTTTTAATGTTTCAAGCATACGTATGATTTAATGTGTGATAAGTGCAGTTTTCTTTTTTCGATTCTAAAAAAAAAAGATGTTTTTGTGAAACACTGATGCCCTCGTATGACAGATTTCAGCGAGGGTTAAAGTTTTATAAATGCAAGTCAAGATCAAGGTCAAGAGATAAAAATATTGTTACCCAAAGACAGGACTTAAATGAATATACATGTGAAATATGAAATTTAAGAACCAACCGTTCAAAAGTATGGCCAAGCTTTTGCAAAAGTAGGTCAAACTCCAAGGTCAAGATCAAAGGGTCAAATTAAAGTTCCCAGGGAAATACCTTGTCATCAGAAATACTAATATGTCATTGAAATATCTTAGTTCTTGCACTGGTCAACTGTTCAAAAGTTATGGTCCAGGATAAAGTTTTTTAAATGTAGGTCAAACTTCAAGGTCAATTTGTTGGTATCCAAAGGAAGGTCTTGTCACAAGGTAGTACATAGGAAATATGAAGACACCAGTAATAACTATTCAAAAGTTAAGTTCATCTTTTTAATTGTACCAAACACAAAGATCAATGTAAAAAGGTAAAAAAATGTTTCATCTGGCATGGAAAAGGACTGATACAATTAAGCCATGTCAACAATTGTTCAAAAGTTATGACCAAGATTAAAGTTTGGTAATTTTTTGGCGAAAGTGGGTAAAACCCCAGATCAAAGTCAAATATTTTGGAATTCAAAGATAGACCATGTCACAGGGAATGTACTTGTGAAATATGAAAGCCAAAACCCCAATCAATCAAAAGTTATCGACAAGGTTAGAGGTTTTACTGACACACAGACAGACGGACAGGGAACAACTCTATACCCCGAATCTTCGATTAAGGGGTCATAAAAATTAAGTTTTCCCTGCAAAAATTGCATTACATGTAAATAGATTATAACACTCCTTCCTTTCACCCTCATCAAGAGAATAGTTTGATTACCCCCACCCCCTTCAATTTCCACGTACTAGTAAATCCCTGGAAGCATTCGTGATTCTTTAAATGCTTCATGCACCTTTTGTTTTGCAGATGCAATGGACGAACAATGTGGCAGAATCATAAAATTGGATGGACGAATTTTTCACATTGCAAACATCCAACAGACTTTCCGGAATAATTACGCACTCAACTCTAACTGTCAATTAATAATCGAGACAATGGAGCCCTATCGCTTCATCATCGTGTTTAAGAGGTTGGATATTGAGTTTGAACCCCTCTGTGACGATGACAACCTTTTGGATGTAGGCGAACACCTCTCTACTTCTCTAGAGAAAATACTATAGTAGTCAGAAACAAAACACCGTATAAATGTACATTATTGAAATTGCAAATTTACACTTCTGCCAACCGAATTTAAATACTAGTATGCACGCGTTGTTTGCAAAACGTTTGGTCATTGAGTTCACAATATATTTTTCAGGGTTGCCTTCCAGGATATGTGGGAAGGAGAGACCGCCAGGTTCTTATGTTTCAGAAGGTCAACAGGTGTTAATGACGTTTCGCAGCGATTTTTACGACGTCAGAGATGGTTTTGAAATTATTCTCACAACTTTCAGAAAAGGTATAAAATCATTTTTGTATTTAGAGTGATGAAATTTATCAAATTAAAAACAAGATGTGTTTGTGAAACACTGATGCCCCAACCCCTCCGTATGGCAGCTTATCTTCTCAAATGCATGTCAAACTCCGAAGGTCAAGGTCAAAAGTCAAACGTGTTGGTACCCAAAGGAAGACGTTGTTACAAGGATTACACCTGTGAACTGTGAAAGCCCTAGTTCTAACTGTTCAAAAATAATGGCCATGGATAAAGTTTTGAAAAAGTGGGTCAAACTCTAAGGTCAATGTCAAAAGGTCGAAAATATTTATACATGTACCCACTGAGAGGTCTTGTCACAATGAATATACATATGAAGTATGAAAACCCTAGCTCCAAGGGTTCAAAAGTTCTGGCAAATGTTAAAGTGTGGTATTTTCTTTGTAAAAGTAGGTCAAACTCCAAGGTCAAGAGGTCAAATTTGGTGGTACCCAAAGAAAGGTCTTGTCACAAAGAATACACTTATGAAATATGAAAACAATTGCCCCATCCACTCAAAAGTTATGGGCAAACAGACAGGCAGACAGACAGCTAGGCACACAGACAGACGGACGGGCAGGACAAAACTGTATACTCCCGAAACTTCGTTTACGGGGGCATGAAAATTATATAACCTTTGGTAGTAATGCTTTCTTGCGCTGAATATAACTTTAATGTTGTTTTGCTAACCACCTCCATTGCCTTTTAAATGATTAACAGTGCCCTGTGATGAAGAGCAGGAGTGTAAGTCGGTGTATCTCCTCCCTCCTCCAGTGTGACGGTATCAACAACTGTGGCGACTATTCTGACGAGTGCCAGTGGAGCGCAGGGGTACTGTTCGGTATCATGGGGGCCATACTCTTCATCATAATCACAGGCATCGTGGGTGTGAGGTTCGTTAGAAGGAAACGACTTCTCAGAATACCCAAAAAGGTATTCTCTTTTTTTGCTTTAATATACCGATATACGTACATGTACGCTCTTTTTCAATAATTTTTTTTAACAAAATACCAATTCTACAGGGAAAAAAGGAGAATTCGACGGATACATTTATGGATATATTTACAACACCTGTTCCAGATGTCAACCATTTATGTGAGCACCATAGAAAGAGCATTTCTAAGAGATCCATAGCCGCCGAACCGGAAGTGCATCAGCAAAACTGTCATTTGTATTACAACAATGAAGAAACAAATGACAATAATCGTATAAAATATTTTTTTATTGTTAATGTTGAACATTATATATTTATCTTTCGTTAATAAAACACCATAATCATTATGCTATGCTTATGTAATGCTATGCTTATGTAAAAAAAACAAGAGGCCCATGGGCCACATCGCTCAACTGAGTAACTTTTGTGATGCAGTTTTTTACCAAATTTTGTGTAGAAATTATTTTATTCAAGACTTATGTAGAGGTCATGGTCATTTCACAATATTGACAATATTTACAGGGTAACTTCCTTTATAACAGAGTTCATAAGACTGAGATCAAAACTGCATTTTGACAGTGGTCTGTTGTATGGGCTAGTCTGATTTCGTCTTTTTCTCCAGGTATATGTATCACATTCAGAGTGTTTCGTTAGTTTACCACAGCATGTCCAATGTGGGCCCCCAGGGTGGACGACAGAGTCATGGTTGCAACAGTAGTCGCCTAAAAATGCAGATTTTTGGAATTTTTAATTTAAACTTATGATTCATATTAATTAATACATGAATATTAAAAAATAAATCATATGATAAACCTGCTAATGAAGACCCGTATGTACACGGTTCATCATTTCTCCTGTTTTCGGAGCAAACGGAACAACAGTGCCATCTGCCAGTGTGTTCTCGCCAACCGTGTTTCACATTGAAAACCACAGATTTCGTCTGAAAACAAAATATTCAACTTTCCTGATAATGATCATTTACTGCAATTACAAACCACATTTTTGTCGAATAAACCAATGACCTTAGAAAAGTCAAATTAACATACTTTAATGGGCTGTCCATCAACTGTGACATGAAGCACATGTTTTCCAGTTTCGTATGGTAAAAACTCTATCATCCAAGTTCCGTCCATGTTATTTCTTACTTCTTTTGGTTTACTTTTGTAAAATTACACAAACAGGTTAAGATACTCAGTGATTTTTTTTTTAAATTTAAAACGATATTAGTGCTTTTGAATTCGGAAAAAATATTAAAATTTTAAACAAATAGCAACGAATATTGAACCCTTTTCCTTGCCAAAATTAAGAACTTTTCTCAATAAAAAATGTAGAAAGAGCACTGAAACTCCACATACAAAGAATCCATGTATAGTATACTTACCAAAGAGATCCTGATGGCTCTAGAATTTTTACCCGGACTTTTGCCTCGCAGGGAAACGATTTTCCTTCCTGCTGTAAAGTATGTAGTATGACTAATGCCTTCTGTCTTACCCTTGCTGTCTCTAGCCCTTAAAAAAAATCAAATGCACATTTACACTTAAATGAATATAAACTTAACATTGATTAAATATATATTAACTAAGTAAATCGAGTTTTGTCAGTATGCAAACTGATGCACACTCAAACAATATTACAGATTCTTCACTACATAAAATGAGATTTTCATTGAATTTCTTTTGTAAGAGTGTAGTTTTAATTAATTGATTGATTGTATGTTGTTTTACGTCCCATTCGAGCTTTGATATAACTACGAATGCATGTATTCTAATATATGCACCGGCAAAACATGTCACCGTGTCTATATCTGAATGTACTCTTACCATATTCAAATTTAAACAAGGAACTTACCAGAACAATCTATATAGCATTTCGCTGGACACAAATGTCCGCTGAATATTTGTCCGTAGAACTGGTATTGGTCAATAATGGGACCATCAGCATCTGGACAAAATGTTGTTTCCGGAGAGGTCACGTGAACTTTGGCTTGCCGTATAGTCATCAAAAGTTTGGACAATCTACTCCAATCCCCGCTGCTTCCACCTAACCCCGAGGTCATTGTCTTCAGTATTTTCTTAACTTCATCAACATTTTCTTGTAAACTCGAGAGAACCGATTGTTGGTTTGCAATAAATTCTGTGTGCTTCGTAGACATTTCTCTCGTCTGCTTCAGAAGTTCAGTTCTGTGTTTCTCCAAAGATTCGATGTATTTGTCAAAATGGGAATTAATTTCGGTTGAAATGTCCTGAGAATGAAGATTTGTTTCCATTTTTACATCGTCACACCGTTTTATCAGACGATCAAACAAAAGTGATTTAGAATCCATTTCTTCGGAGATGTGTTTTACAAATAAATCATCCATCTTACTATTCGCCGTTTTTTCACCTTCTAGATCTGATAGAAGATATCTTATTTCCGATGTTCCTGAATTTTCAATGTGTGTTAGCTCATGATTTTGAGTTGTTTTTTGCCTCCCATGAAAAAATACACACATTTCACACAAGTTTTCTTGACATTCGTCACAATATAAAACAGCCGTTGAATCGGATTCTTCAACACACATGGTGCAAAGTGTCGAGCTACCATCTGATGATGTAGATATCTCGTCTTCATCTAACAGCCAAATAAATTTTTGTTCTTCAGCATCCATGTTTTTTTTTTATTATTGAAATTCAAGAATAAAGATATCTATACATCCTCACCCCGTCTGCACGTAAAACAGAGCAATCAAAAAATGTTACCCATGAATTGTAAATGTATATAAAACGGATTTACATTTCGTAGATGTAACGCGCGATAACACATAAGGAATTCTCTAGTTACGCCTTGGCAGTTTCACTAATAATCTTAATACCGGGTATCTGAACTCTATACATTAAAGCATCACAAAAGGTTATGTTTATTCGGACATCATGTCTTTGTTAAGCTGACATGAACATAAATTTTGTCAGCGATTTGTCAACATTGCCTTAAGCTGGCCACTGACTTTACTTTTCTTCGATCCGATAAAATCCCCCACTCCGTCCTACTAAAGCACCTGTCCAGCTGCACGGTATAAAATATGCCAGATGGCTATCTTATTCACCAGAAAATGGAAAATTCTGTTTAGAAATATTTGCATTTGTATATACATATGTACTGTAAATGTATATTTAAAAAATTTGTATGCAATAGTTCTAAAATATCGGTTACCGATTTTTGCAAGTGCACGGGATTCTCTATTTATGAAAGTACTGTTATACGGCCAATGGCTATTAAGAACCCCTAGCTTTATATACAAAATACTGAAGAGTTTTGATTCTTGGGCATTTTTATGCAGTTAGAGCAATCTAACATCAAATCAGGAATAAAATTAATTGATTTCCACAATATACTAGTATGCATTTCCCCAAATAATTTTCTGTTCATCAGTACTTAAAGTTGTCTTCGAACATTTTCCTGGAAGAAAATGACAGTTACCCTATGTTGAAAATGAAAAAAAAAAATGAAATGAGCTTAAAAAATAGATCTCTTCTCAATGTTCATAAAATTGCCTTAGTGAAAATGTCAGTTGGCATTTTTATGCAGTTAGCTTCATCCGACCTCAAATCAAAACTAAATAAAAAGAAAATAAATCGAAATCAACAAGGTATTAATTATAATTTATTTGTAATCAAATCAAGCATTCCTGACACACGAATGCCTGCAAAATGATAGGGGGTCTTCTTTGTGTCAAAGGGAGTAAATACTTTTATAAAAGTTATATCTGGAAATCATTTAAATTATGCAGATATATAATTTCTGACCTTGACCTATTGACCTCACAATCAAAAGGGGTCTTCTGTAGATCAAAGAAAAGTATGTTTTAAACAGTAAAGGAAAATATACTTCAGGAATTCATGAATACATACTAGTATCTGACCATGACCTTTGGAGCTACAATCAATGAGAGTCTTATTTGAAAGTCAAACATTAACATCATTCCTTTCAGTTAAAGCAGGAGACTATAAAACATTAGAAGTGTAACATTTTTATTTGATTTCATTAAGAACGTTTTCAACATTTATATATAAGTGTTAATAACAAATTATACCAATGATTGTCATTTATAAAATTTGTGTAAACGTTGTCAAACCATCTTGATTAACGATTACCAAGTTTATATTTCTCTAAAAAAAAAAATAAAGTATATAATAAAAATATACTCTAACTTGTTTTAAAATCCAGAATACTCGATGATTTTACCAAGTTCAGTCAACAGTCATGGAGAGTAAACATTGCATGAGAAACAAAATTCGTGAATCTACTAACAATAATATACATAATTTAAGATTGAGAAAATACATATCAGTTAAAAAAAAATACATTTTTTTATAAAATTTATATATCACGTAAAACATACGTGTATAACACGTCATAAATCATAGTATATATATTTTTCGAAGGAGATGGGCGAACAAGGCTTACAAAATGCCTATACATAGCTTTAAATGTGAAAATCATATTCATTTTATAAATTTAATAAACAAAAATAAAATCACTGAAAAGGTTCAAAATTTAGACAAATAAACCTGCTTTTTGTAAAAATTCTCTCAGCAGAAAAACATTCTTTATTTTGATTTTAAAATGTGATATTTATAGTTTTTTAGTGCAAGCAATAAATCCTGGGTTTCAATTTTTCATTCAGTCTTTCAAAACATGGAACAAAACTTTATTCATTTGAGGAAAAATGTGTTCCAGTTTGAAGAATTGATCAATCTTCTCTCTTTGGTGTATGTACTCTATTTTACAAAAATACAGAATACACTGTAACATGTTTCGATTTCACATACGATATAACGTTTCGGGAAATGGGCAAGATTTTACTTAAAGTACTAGTATAGCGTTTCAGAAATTTGTGATTTTTTTAATGAAAAGTATAGCGCCTTGATATATTGGGAAAAATATCTAGGTAGGAACATTAAATGAACATAAATTATATGTTTATGGTAAACGAACTATCAAAAATATTTCAGATTCATTTTTTTCCTCAAAATAGGCATTTTTGCTCGCTTTATTTGCCCATCTTCTTTCAATAATTATAACAACTCACCTAGGTTACATGTACTTTCTTTTTTTCTGACAAATATAGTTAAAAGAATAATTTATAACACATGCATATTGAGGTTTGATGGTAAGTTTACCAACAATGCATGAAATACAAAAGAACAGGGACAGGCCACTTTTCGACCACAAAAAGCCCACTTAAGCCTTTGGCTAAGGTGAGCAATGAACATATATAACTTTCATTGTTTCTTATTCCTAGACATAGTTAAGTGACGAATGTTGGATATCAATAAAATGATGGCACCCATAAACATTGCACTACCTCCAACATAAAAAGCGTTTTCATACCCTCCAACATTATCTTTCAGAAAACCTGGAAATTAAAAAAAAAGTTTTTAGATGCTATGTCATTACATGTTTTATGTTCCTGAGGTAGTATTCTGGAAATCTAGGGTAATTTAAGCCCTACGTTGAATTTGGAAAGAAAATATATTAGCACTAACACTTAATCCACGACAAATAATAAAATTTGTTGCAAATATTCCATTACCTGACAAAGGTGGACCTATGAGCATCCCCACACCTTGAAAGGCTATCAGAATTCCAAATGAGTTGACTAGTTTTTCTGGTCCTAGCAAGTCCACTAGGATGACCGATTTCTGGGAAATGTAGGTACCTATCAGGAACCCATAAACCCCGCACACCACACACAGCTGGCTGTAAGACCGAGTAAAGGGAATCACAAAAGATACCCCTCCCACCAAGAACATGACAGTGTTGTATACATACACACGGAATCTTTTGACGTTCTTCAGATCGAGAACCGTTCCTGATATAAGCCTTGCCACCCCGTCAAAAACACCAGTGATGATCACCAAATACGCCGCCTCCATGTCAGTGGTTCCTATTTGTTTGCCATAGGCTGGAAGGAACACGAAGGTAGACTGGAAGGCGAGAGTAAACATCATAATAGCTAAGCAAAAACACAGATAGCGATAATCTTTCAACAGTGAAAATTCTAGATATGTCTTCTTTGGACCTGAAGATTTTGGCCCCGTTTTAAAGAGACCACAGCATCTACGTTTTCTGTTGCTGTCCCTATTTTGTACAGATCCGTTCTGCAATGCTTCTTCTTCGCCCGAATTATCGGGTAATGGTGGTTCTTTCTCTCTTGTTCCTGTAAATCTACTGTCTACAACGACCATAGTTTCCGTGTTTTTGAGATCCATCTTTTCATCGTTTGATAATTCCGCTCTAGTACTGAAGTCATTGGAATGCTGATTTAAACTGTCATGTGATACAAATGTTTTTGTGTCTTTTAGTGGAACTTCAGCACCATCTTTTATACTTTTTCTCCTGTAAATGTAACATGTACGTATTTGTGAAGCAGTCGTATCTTGTTCAATCCACATTTAAGGCCCAGGGAGACTCAAAGATTGTTTAGGAAATACTAGTATACTTTGTATGTCTCTACCTATCTGAATTATTCAAATTCATGCAGAGTTATGAAATACGCTTAATTTCAATAAATCTTAATTCAAACATGGACCTGTTTTGCTAAATATTTTTTCTGTAAAGTATCAAAACTGTATCAAAAGTGATAAGGTACATCCGTAGCATTTGGGTCTAGATATGCATGCATCAACTGTTCGTAAAATTTTGAAATAAGTTGAAAAGGTCAAGTGCAATTTTCTTGCCTTTGGTCAAAAGCCATAAGTTGTCTTTGTTTCTCCAAAGGTCTAAACAGCATACCACAGACACACAAATTGACTGCAAAACACGCTAGAATATAAAATCCCCCGGTAAAGGCGTAGAAATGGAATGCTACTTCTACAACTGCTGGAATGGCAAACGATCCGAATCCCACCCCAGAAGTCGCCATACCAATTGCAATGCCCCTTCTCTTGTTGAAATAAGTCCCCACCATCGTGACGGCTGGGGCATATGACAAACTACGTCCAAAACCTTAAACATGATGCATTTAGCATTATATTTCAAACAACAGAAAGCTATACACAAATTGTATAAATGACAAAATTCTATTTGCCTGATTTGAAGACGCACCTCCTATAAATCCAAAAACGGCAAAGTTGACGTACAAAGATGGAGAATACGCCGTTATGATCAGAGTCACGGTGAATATGATGGACCCTGTTATTACGACTGTCCTACTGGAGAACTTGTTACAGAGAAAGCTGCATATGGGACCTACAATGAAATAAAAAAAACAACTACTTCTTTACATTTAATTCTGCATTCCAGTTCATCAAATGTTCTGTTTATTTTAGGACTTACAAAAATGTCAAACTACAAATGCCTTGCTCAACTTTTTTTATTTATGTAAAAAAAAATCATCGAAAACTGCGTCTAGAAAAAATGCAATGAAATTCTACTTGCATTAAAAATTCAACATTAGACAAATATCTAAAACCACGAGATTATACATACCCAATAAGAGTCTGATTCCTGAGGGGATGGCTGTCGCCCATGCAGTAGCGGCCGCGGTTTGCTTATACCTCTCCAGGAAATAGAGGTATAGCAGGCCAGATGAGCGCTCCAGGCCCCCAATAATGAAGTGACAAATGAAACTCCCAAACACCACCCACCAGCCCCATCCACCGTCAGGCACCACATTTTCCTCCTTCTGTTAAAAAAATATAACTACTTATCGGTTTGAAACTAGAGGCCACTGGGCAACATCGCTCACCTGAGCAATTTGGTATGAAACCGATATAAAAAGCAAACAAGAAGCCCATGGGCCACATCGCTCACCCGAGAAGCTTTGACCATCCCGTTCTTTACCAGATTTCCCCCTTGTAAAACATATTGTGACCCCATCCTACTCCACTGATCATAATTTAGACAATTTGAAATCTACACTACTATAGGATGCTTTGATTCCCCATTGTAAAAAATTGATTCCCCATTTTGGCCCCGCCCTACCCCCAGGGGTCATGATTAGAACAATTTAGAATGAACACTACCCCTGGATGCTTCCAGATAAGTTTCAGCTTTTCTGGCCCAGTGGTTCTTGAGAAGAAGATTTTAAAATATTTTTCCTATATATTTCTATGTAAAACTTTGATTCCCTATTGTGGTCCCGCCCAACCCTCGGAGGTCATGATTTGAACAATTTAGAATGTACACTACCCCAGGATGCTTCCACATAAGTTTCAGCTTTTCTGGCCCAGTGGTTCTTGTGAAGAAGATTTTCAAAGATTTTTCTCATATATTTCTATGTAAAAATTTGATTCCCCATTGTGGCCCCGCCCTACCCCCGGGGATCATGATTTGAACAATTTAGAATGTACACTACCCCGGAATGCTTCCACATAAGTTTCAGCTTTACTGGCCCAATGGTTCTTGAGTAGAAGATTTTCTAAGATTTTTCCTATATATGTCTATGTAAAAATTTGATTCCCCATTGTGGTCCCGCCCAACCCCCGGGGGTCATGATTTGAACAATTTAGAATCTACACTATCCCAGGATGCTTCCATATAAGTTTTTCAGCTTTTCTGACCCAGTGGTTCTGAAGAAGATTTTCAAAGATTTTTCCCATATATTTCTATGCAAAACTTTTGATTCCCCATTGTGGCCCCGCCCTACCCCCGAGGGTCATTATTTGAACAATTTAGAATGTACACTACCCCAGGATGCTTCCACATACCTTTCAGCTTTTCTGGCCCAGTGGTTCTTGAGAAGAAGATTTTTTTTCCCTATATATTTCTATGTAAAAATTTGATTCCCAATTGTGGCCCGCCCACATCATGATTTGAAGAATTTAGAATGTATACTACTCCAGTATGCTTCCACATAAGTTTCAGCTTTTCTGACCCAGTGGTTCTTGAGAAGAAGATTTTTAATGACCCCACCCTATTTTTGTCTTTTCTTGATTATCTCCCCTTGTGAGGAGACTTGGCCCTTCATTTTAACAATTTAAATTCCCCTTCACCAAAGAATGCTTTGTACCAAGTTTGGTCAAAATTGGCCCGGTGGTTCTTGAGAAGAAGTCGAAAATGTGAAGTTTACAGACGGACAGCTAGACAGACGGACGGACGGACGGACGACGGACAAAATGTGATCAGAAAAGCTCACTTGAGCCTTCGGCTAAGGTGAGCTAAAAATCGTATAACTAATCATATCTTTGAAAGATTTTTCCAGATTTCTCTTATTCTTGAAATTGCACTACTTGACGATTCTTCTAAATAAATAAAACTTATCATGGCTTTGATCTAAAGGGAAAAAAGTACAACATTTTTTCATATGTTTTCCCATTGTATGTTAATCCTAAGAGGATGTAGTAACGCAATTGCGTGTGTGTTCGTTTGTAGGTGAATTATCACGGTAGGAACCAGAGGTTATCGGGATCGATGACGAATACTGACTTGATTTATAGGTAAGCTTTTTTGCGAGGGGCTGCTCCGCTTTGTGCTGTTTTAAACATCATACTTTTTCATTAATTCTTAATCATCTTCATTATGAGAAAGACTGTTTCTGACTTTCATCCTTCTTTTGAACAAACGTACAAGGGTCATCTTGGCGACTTTGGATGAAATTGGCCCATTGGTTCTTGAGAAGTTGAAAAGAAAAGTTGACAGACGACAAACGAGAGACGGCGCCTGACATTTTTCGATCAGAAAAACAGATGAACAAAAAAACAAAGACAACGTGATACGATACATCGTATTTTTTTCTTACCTCGATTAAAACTGTGGGGACATTAGCATTGTTGATTTCTGAAATCTTTTCGTGGCCATTTCCGGCTATATCGTTCTTTAGCTCTTCATTCTCCATTAGGATTAAGTACAACACATGACTTTACGTTCTGAAGAGAGGGTTATCATAGGTAACATATTTCATACACTTGTTTTTGATAACATTCATAAATCGACGGACAACTTGACAACCAAACCACTCCAATCGCGAGCAGTTCTCTTTTTTCACCTATCGTTCCTCTGAGTATAAATTTTATCAAGAATTTTCGCTCCCATGACTTTTTGCAAAACGTGTAACTTGTATTACTTTAAAAATAAACAAATGAATAAATAAATGAAAAAAAAAAACAATGAATGAAATGTTTTAAGAAATCGGCTAAATTACAAATAAACAAAAATTTGATTTTATTAAAGAGAAATAATTGAAGGCACTTGTAATTTCCATCCCTTTAGAGCGTAAAAAAATTTCAATGGACTTTTGACATTGACAACTGTTTTTTTTTTCTTCGTATTTTCTTAAATATTTCTTCAAATAACTAGTGCTAATTGTAACGGGAACCGTTACAGATGTTCCCCAAACGCTCCCCAACTCCCTTTTGGTGCCATATTCCCTATAAGCTTCATTAAATAAGACAAACTCTGTGCATTTTTGACTTTAACAACGTTTTTCCAAAAGGATACCAATTATATTCAATTTTTGCATTGCACCCCAGCGCATGTGAATGCATGTGAGTTATGACCATATCATCTTGTCTACACTATCTATATATTTTAATATACTATATATTAAAGCATTCCGTCCAAAAGTAATAAAAATCACTCATTCAAGTGTATTTTTAATTATACTCGTTCTAAATGCACGCACGTGCGTGCACGTGCATGATGACCATACCTTCTTGTAGGAGTCCCTTACATCGATCTATGTTCTAAATCCCATCCGGTTCGGTAGAAAAACAAGGGAGTTATAGCCATTTCAAGTTTCAGCCAATCAGATTGCAGCACACATGCAAATGCGTGATTTCATGATTTTTTTCTATACGATATTGTAGGTTATCCTAATGCATGACTATATTTTAAATTTCAAAGAATTTCGTCGAAAAACAAAGGATATATAGCCATTTAAAGTTTCAGCCAATCAGATTGCAGCACGCGCACATGCGCATGCTTTTATGAAAATTCTTTTATATCATGCTGTAGATCTTTATAATGTAGCACTATGTTCAAAATTTCAAAGGATTATGACAAGAAACAAGAAAGATATTGAGACTTTAGTTTCAGCCAATCAGAGCGAAGCGCACGTGCATGCGCGTGAGATCTTGCTATTTTGACCATGCTATCTTGTCTATACTTCTAATGTATCCTTACATTATGAGTTTCAAAAAATTTCATCAAAAAATAGAAAAGTTACGGCAATATCCATTATATTGGTCATTTCACGTGTTGCACGTGCACGCTCTTGCAAGCATGTGCGCGCAAAATGACCTTGATTCCGCAAATCTACATAACATGTCTACTGACCCTAAAAAGGTTTTACCTACATCGGACGAACAGTTTACAAGATCATTCCCGGACAAAAAAGTACCCAGGAAGAAGAAGAAGAAAAATAATAATAATAAGAAACAGAGTAAAAACAATATGTTCCCCAACTTCGTTTGGGGAACATAATAAACGATATTTTCAAACTAAAATTATTATTAAACTTAAACATTGATCTGAATTGATGCGCACAATAATTGAAATATCATACCCTCTTTAGTTAAATTATTGCAAAGATCAATTCCGTTCATGTACGCAATAAAGGGACAACCATTTGATTCTTTCGTTGGGGGGTGGGGATAATTTTTTTCGAATCAGATTATTTATGTTCATGTCAGTGAAGGACTGATCATCTATTTCCAGTTTGAACCAGGACAGATTAATTATGTTCTTCTTCACTGGAAAAAAAAATAAAACATCAAGTCTAAAACTCTAATTGGGGGGAGGAGGAGGGAAATAGCACTGATCAAGGACAGATTATTTATTTCCTGTCCAGACCATTACATTTTTTTATTTTCAACATTTTCGAGGGCAGATTATTTATTTCCAAAATTTGCCCCCCACTCCCACCCCCTCAAAATCAAATGGTTGTCCCTTTATGAATTATTGCATACATACATGTAAGTTCAGTTACTGTATTATGGATATCATCAACTGATGCTCTCTTTAATAGAAATTGAGTCGAATCTCTCACAAAATCGTTCTTATTTTCAAATCAAATGAATTAATTCAAATGAATTAAAATTAACAAATAATTCTGATGGCATTTCTTTGGTTTATTAAGATTTTTTTGCTTGGTATTGCCCTTTCTCAACCGAAAATGTCTGGTTTTGCCCCCCCCCTCCAAAACTGAATTATGTTAAGACAAAATTTGAAGGCATTAGTGTTTCTCTAGAAAGTAGTATTTGGCCAAAGCTTCTCTTAGTCTATTTTTATTGTGTTATCTAAGATTTGCACTGAGTGCTGCATCAGGGGAAATTAAATTTTATTGTATTTAATTTTAACTGGTAAAAGAAAGTTTATTCCAAGTCTATTGCAAGTACATTTAATTAAGGAATGGTTTTAAGTCTTGTGTGAGTTATTGGTGTGTAAATCACAGACTTATCACATAGGTATATGCAAGACTCGTCACCAAGGCATGTTCAAGTATTGTTTTGTGAAAAGGTTAAAGTTTAAGGCATTTTCAAACTCTTTTATCTTTACAGCAGATGAAATGTACCCTATCAAATTTGCCATTTGTTAATACCATGATTTGCCATAACCACAAGTTGCTATCAGTTGCCATCTGAAGGGAGAGTGCACACATTTGTTGTGATCCTACCCAATTTTAAAAATTATTTTTTAAATCTGTAATCGGAAGTAGAAAAAGTTGGAACCCCATTTCCCTTGATGTAAAAATTTCAAGTTTCTTTATTGTTCTATACTTATTTTTGGATTGCCAAACCCTCACCCCATCTAACTCCCACCCCTTTCCAAAAATCAGGGGACATATCCACTTTAGACTAGTTTTCTGAATTGTATGCTCAATATCTAGGTTTAGGTAGTTATCAGAAATACATGAATTTTTAAGATATTACAAAAGATGGCATTTCCTTTATAAGCCTACATGCTTGAAATCATTGAACCCAGTGAAATGCTGATGTAATGATTTTTTTATTTGAATATTTTTCAGAAATTTAAAGGTCCAGAAATCAAATTGTTATAAAAATGTTAAAGGTTCTTGGTAAATTACAACTGAATTCAAATAGACATTTAAGGAATATGTCATGAGACCTCAAAAGGGCATATTGAAAATGAGATTTACCTTTTTAGTTGGTTTAGTCCCCCCCCCCCCCCGCTTCAATTTAGTAAAAAATTTTGTGTTATCATGATAATTTTATTTGGTCTGATTTTTCTTTTTATGATCATTCCAAGGGTAAGAGAAATTTTCATGAAGGGGGTTAAGGTCATTTTGAATACAAAGCTATATTAAAGCTATATTATATGAAAAAATTGCACTTCCAGACGAAAGTCGGATAAATATCCTCTTTGTGTTGAAAGAGAGAGGGAGAGAATTTTCAAGGTCGTGTATTAAAGGTGAAGGTCAACATATTTTAAATTGATTTAAATCTATTACCTTAAAAATGCCAAAGCAAAGGTATCAAAAACACAAGTCGTGTTAAAAAGTGACAAGAGGCCCATGGGCCACATCGCTCACCTGAGCACTAAGGGTAGGAAAAAGTAGAAAATGGCTTTTTATTGTAAAGTTTAAATCCAAAAGTAGTCCCATGACCAATCATGGATTTGCTATTCTTTACAAAATGATTCTTAAAGAATTTTCCTACATATAAAAATTTGGTCGGCCATTTTTGCCCCGCCCTACCCCTGGGGGTCATGATTTGAACAAATTTGAATCTACACTACTTGAGCATGCTTCCATACAAATATGATGAATTATGGCTTTGTCATTCTTGAGAAGATGATGTTTAAAGAATTTTCCTATATATTTCTATGTAAAACTTTGGTCGGCCATTTTGGCCCCGCCCTACCCCCGGGGGTCATAATTTGAACAAACTTGAATCTACACTACCTGAGCATGCTTCCATATAAATATGATGAATTATGGCTTTGTCATTCTTGAGAAGAAGATTTTTAAAGAATTTTCCTATATATTCCTATGTAAACTTTGGTCGGCCATTTTGGTCCCGCCCTACCCCGGGGGGGGGGTCATGATTTGAACAAACTTGAAACTACACTACCTGAGCATGCTTCCATATATATATATGAAGAATTATGGCTTTGTCATTCTTGAGAAGAAGATTTTAAAAGAATTTTCCTATATATTTCTATGTAAAACTTTGGTCGGCCATTTTGGTCCCGCCCTACCCACGGGGGTCATGATTTGAACAAACTTGAATCTACACTACCTGAGCATGCTTCCACATAAATATGATGAATTATGGCTTTGTCATTCTTGGGAAGAAGATTTTTAAAGAATTTTCCTATGTATTTCTATGTAAAACTTTGGTCGGCCATTCTGGCCCCGCCCTACCTCGGGGGGTAATGATTTGAACAAACTTGAATCTACACTACCTGAGGATGTTTCCCCATAAGTTTCATCTTTCCTGGCACAGTGGTTCTTGAGAAGAAGATTTTTAAAATATGCCACTAAATTTTCATTAATTCCCAATTATCTCCCCTTGAATGAGGGCGTGGTCCTTCATTTGAACAAACTTGAATCCCCTTCACCCAAGGATACTTTGCGGCAAGTTTGGTTGAAATTGGCCCAGCGGTTCTTGAGAAGAAGTCGAAAATGTGAAAAGTTTACAGACAGACGGACGCCGGACAAAATGTGATCAGAAAAGCTCACTTGAGCTTTCAGCTCAGGTGAGCTAATAATCTGGCACTATAGTATGTATAAGAATCAGCTGATTTTGTACACTCATTTTTTCTCCAATTTTCAATCAACTCACAAGAAAGATTCTGTAGCATTTTGAAATCTCATGGCTTAACAATCGATTTGGTGAATTAAAATAGTTAATACAGTATCTCTGTACTCACTGTCATGCCATAGATGTTACCGAACCTGTCATTT